TATGAAAATGTATACTGTAATAACTGGGTAGTGTTTTCAAGCACGTGTACCTTGGGCTAACTGAAAGGAATTAGAACAAAAACATCCTGACAGGAGAGGCTGGCACATTGTGAAAATGACTCATGCTTTGTAACCGAATCCCAGAATACAGAGGAAGTTTTCACTTTGGCCTTTTGATATAAAAGAACAAGAGCCGGATGAGGACATGTGACGCTGAAATGAGAACGAAAAAACGAAAAAAAACAGTGGGTTTCAAAAGCAGAGACCAGTTCCATTGGACTTTTTTACTTCTGTTGTAAGTGGATCCCAATGTAAAGAGGCTGTGTAAGCCGGGATTTCACAATTGACCGCAAGCCCTGGGAAAATCATATAATGTGCACTCTTGAGAGAACTTGTGCAGCACTGCGCTATCATACCAATGATCCCTCCAGACTCCAGCTGAGGACCACCTGGAGAGCTATGGTTTCCAAATAATAGAAGCAAAATATTTTCCATTTGCTCAATCTAAATAAGAGTGGAATTGATTAATCTGTTCGCACGCTTTTTTTGTTGATTGATTAATACAAGAAAGATTCACAGTGCAAGGCTGTAAAGGAAAACTGCAGTCAAGACTCCTCGGTCAGAATGTTCACGTTTAGGATGATGTCTGACATTTCCGGTTCTTAATGAAGGCAGATATCGCCTACAAAGGGAGCGACACTCGTTGCGTTTCAAATGTTGTCGGAATAATCTCTCAATGAGACAAAAATGGCATCAGAATATTATGCCATTTCATACAGCCTGTACTTCCTACCTGTCCGTGTTTTAAAGGATAACAGAAAATGAAAATGAGCGTGTGATGTACGCTAAATATTTGCTCTTGAGGTGATCTTTGAGGGCAAATTGACAGCGAGCTAATGCCATTGGTGAGCCCTCGTTTATTAAACGATTTAGACAGTGTTTAAAGAAAACAAACACGCATGCACACAAACTCCTCAACGTGATTTATCCGGACGCCATGAGACGAGAGCAGCGCTCAATAGCTGGGGCCTACCTGATGGAGAGCCTGAGAGGCCAAGCAGGAACAGATGGACTGAGGCCGGCGGGGGAACTGGAAATGAGGGAGTAAAGGGAGTAAAGGGAGGCACGGACCACCATCATTGCTGCCCACACCAAACTACACTTACCACCTACCGTCGCCCGCCCCCATCCCAAACCCACCAAATCAATTTGCAGCTAAATGATTTTAGCCTGTAATGGATCTGCAACTTGCACACGTATGTACGAAGCCCAACATGGTACTACTTTTAACCCCCCGATGGTAACATTTACAAACAAGCGGCCACAAAGAGTCATCAATCCACACATTAACCTCTTTCTTGCCTTTGGGGGATTGTGCTATTCTCCATTATAGGGTTGAGAGAGTACCAAAGAAACTTAAACAGGGAGGAAATGGAAAAAGACCCTTTCAAAGCAGGCTAAAGAGGCAATTAGCCAAGCACACACAGAACCAAGCAATGGTCACTTCAGTCCTTGTCTACCCTTTGATTTAAGATCAGAAAATACATGATCAAAGTGAAGGGAGAGATTTGAGACCCTTGAGAGGTACAATGACCACTTCTAAGCTCCCTGAGCTGGAATCTAAAGCGTCGCTGTGCCTGCACATCTGGAACGGTATCTATCTTAAAGCCGATGCTGCTGTATTTATCCCCCTGGAGCAGTGTCGTTGTGTTTGTGTGTACTTGTACGCATCAGGCATCGAGTACCACGTAAACAGGGACGGGACACTCCGTCTTCCCGACTTGTGCAACCCGGTATGTGTCTCGTGCCACCGCGCCAGTAAGCCCTGGGTGGCTTCAGTTAGTCATGCCATGTGTATACTCTAGCCAAACAAGGCCTAAGGACACTCCAGGGTGGTACAGAGGAAGGAGGGGCGAGGAAGCTAAAGGCGAGGTAGTGTGGTCCGATGGTTGAAGCCAGTGATTTAGGGGCTGTTGATACCGGGCAGACAGCCCAGGCTCAGTCACTGACTCACTGTAGATGACGCTGCATAAGTCACTACACTTAAAATGTCCTCATATGTTTAGAAATGTTCAAGTGGAAATCAGGCGGGCTCACACAGCTGGAAGTCGCTACTGGATCTGATTTTCGAGTTTCTCTCTCGTTTTTTCCCTGAAGCTTTCATAAACAGATGGCCGAAGCTCATTAAGCTGTTATCAGGACTATTAATGACATTGTGAACACTTTCTGAGTTTTGTGTGCCTTAAGGGCTTGCGATTGCCAAAGTTGGGCCATTAAAGAAGGTGTGAAAATAACACAATGCTGCTGTGTGCTGCAGGCGGAGGGACGGAGGCCATGAAAGCAACGTACACACATCCTCGAATTGTTGTTGGGCTGAAGTTAATGTTAGCCGTCAGAAAACCCCACAATGCTACATTGGATACCACATGCATTGTATGTATTCCAACAAAGCAGTAGAGGGAACACACGACAGTCTCATCTGTTGTACTACTATTAAGATAACAGGGATTTGTTTCTATGCAAGTTCACAGCATTTTGTCTACAGCCATGATTGCGACTCTGTGATGGCTGACTCAGAGGTGCTTTTAGCTAAATGCTAACATGCTTACGATTATTAATAAGGAGTAATGCTTACCATGTTCACCATCTTAGGAACACGCGGCACGCTAACAATCGGCTATTAAGTTATTGCATTTAATTCAGCCAGGAATATGCACATATGTATATATTTAACTGAAATCCATCCAGTTGTTGTTATTGGTTTCCACTCAGAGCCAAAGTCATATGATTCAACCTTTTGCTGAACATTTATGTACCATCGATATTGAAATATTTCAACCAAAGACCAACAGAAAGACCAACATCAGCCTCAATAAACCAAAACGATCATCAGTGCTGCTTCAAAGATATTACCGGCATGACTTCAAATTAGACAACACGATCATTTATTTAAAGCAATTGGAAAACGTCTGTTAATGAGTCAAATTATGGCTAAAAATATTTTGTTTCTTGCAGCTTCTCCAGATGAACTTTATGGACCAACAACTAAGTGCTGGCCCACTCTGACGACACTTCGAGGCAACTTTTGGGACTTGCAAACTTTGATGTGGGCTTTTGCCCGCACACCAGCGCAGTTGTGCAGTCCCATGGTTACGTTGGTGGGTCGTGAAGCAAACAATGCAGAAACCGAATGGACCGAGGGAACAGAGTGCACTTTCAACATGTCATAAGTCTGGGAAACAGTGTAGGCGGCAATGAGAGCCTGCAAAACTCCAGACCCGTGTTGTTGATCCTTATGTGGTCATACGCAAACCTAACCATCTTCCTCGGGGATATCCTCGCATAGTGCATGAGAATTCCCCCACTGACCCTGCAGAAATAAAATGTCTTTTCAGGATTTTTTTTTTGTCATTTTTTTTAAGGAAATCATTATTGAATAAGAATTGAGCCAAATTAAAGTAAAGTGAGCTTTAGATAATCACCCCCAAATCTGAAATGTGATGCAATAAATATAATACAAACTAACTGGTTTTGATAACTGTATAGCTGTGTGCTTATTCATTCCTGTGTGAATGCATGTGAGTGTGTGTCTCCTCCTCACTTAAAGCTTAAAGCTGCGCTCTGTCAAAATGTGATTCTCTCTAATGGTCTATCTCTCCCTGCAGATGTACTCCTCCTTTCTCCACAGCTGCATCCCACATGTTTTCACGCCGTTCGGCGGTGCAGTTATATTACGTTGCTCTGCGTGGAGCTCTAATGTTGTTGGTGGCACCTTGGATTCTTGTCTTTCCCTCCTGTGAGACTTTGGCTACACTTGGTCCTGAAATGTCTCCAGTTGGGAAACGTAAAGAATGTTGAGGGTGGGGGTCAGATCTGGCAGGGTCTGCTATACGGCTTCATAGCACACACAGTCATTTCCATAATTGCCCACAATCAAACCAACCCCTCCTGGATTCCTCTAGATAAGCTGAGCTGGGGCTCTGGTGAGTGCCGTAGACCCCCAAGTAAGAACAGGTGCCGCTAATGTCACTGATTTCAGATTCTCTGTGTATCCGAAGGAAAGGGAGGGCTGTTTTTACTCCAGTAATTGCCATGGTTGGACATTCCCTTTTGGATTGCAGGCGTGGGACTGTTTTGATGAGGACAATGAAAGGCAATTGGTCCCACATTCGATCCGGTATTATCAGGAGCCAAATTAAGACCCCCTACAGTATGTGCAACTGTACGGCAACAAATTGCTGCGCATTAGCTTGAAATAATTGATTCAAAATGTAGCTTATTTTCCACTGCGTAACACAAGTGATTGTACTTAGTGACAGTTAGCAGAATGAATCATATTTTAAACAAAAGTCAAACACCTGTTGGGATGTGACCTAAGATTTACAATTTTCAGAATGTCATTGTCTTACACAAATGTCCATGCCTCTTTCATAAACTCAGTTATTTGAGAAGAAAAACGAGCCTGAGGCTTATTTTTCTAATGTTTTAAAGACTTGGCTCACAGCCATGAAGTTACTCCGCCATATGGACAGCACTGTAATAACATGCATTCAGATTCTTGTCAATTTACCAATAACACAAAATATAACAACACTCCATCAGTAAAGGTCCCGTTTTCATTATCTTAAAAAACATATATACATTTTTAAAAAATATCACAGAAAGAGGTTAATGTAAAACATGGAATTGGGCGGAGCCATCGCAATATTAGCCTAATGTCTCATCATTGCGGTGAAAGGCTGAAATGAGTTTATGTTTAAGGTTATATTTTTGTTTATTACATTCTTAAAACACACATTTGAGGTTGGAAACATACGTAATAACTGTCTCCCGCTGTTTCAATCGACGGAGCCCCACAGCGCGTCTCCCACTTCTTCCACTCTCCGTCCTCGGCGCTCTGCAGGTAAACTGTTTATATCCACGCGGACGCGTCCGTGGCCTCATGCGCGCTCCCGCGAAGTCCTACGTCACCGCGCTCGCTCCTCTTCTCGCGCGCTGGTTAAAAAGAGGGAGGAAAGAGCACGGGGAAACATGTGAGCGGTCTGAGGACTTTAGTGAGAGACAACTTTTATGTCTTCTATGTTTTTTTGTTGACCCCGTGCATGCACAGACCTTCGTGCTGTGCTTAAAAGGATTTACATCGGAAGGAACGTCTTCTGCAGTTTGGGGTTTTGAGTTTTTGGTTTCATCAGGATAAATTATTATTGTTTTTGCTTTTATTTTTTTATTTCTGCGTTTTAAAATACAGGTGAAGCAGCAGCAGCAGCCGCAACAATTTATTTTCAAACTGCTTTCTTTATAACAGAGTCAATATTTGGACACCTGTTCTGACCAACAGCATATTTTTTATTTTCTGTTAGTAATTGACTTCTGCTGGTTGAGAAAAAGAGCTCAAAATAAATAAAATAGGCTGCACTGCAGTCTAACCCCACTTCTATTTTTTAGAAAAAAAGGGGGACCCCAACTTTATTTTTTTATATTAATTTGTTTTGTTTTCATTTTCCATATTTTCGTCCGTTTTCAGCCTCTTTTTTTCCTTCCAAACGATGAAGCATTTGCAAGTTGTGCTCGTGCTGTCCATTGCGGTCAGCGTGTGGGAATGTGGGGACGCCAAATTCGGCGAAAGGGGGGAAATTGGCCCCAGGAGAAGAAGATGTTACGACGGAAGCTTGCCCAAGCGGCTGAAGAAAAGGGAGCGAAAAGTCTTGCTGGACGGCAGCAACAGCGGAGAAGTTTGCCACAGGTTGTACCCCCGCGTCTCCTGCTGTCCCACCAGGAGAGCCGCCTACCAGATCCTGCACCGCAGGGATGCCAGGGTAGGTTTAATGGCCATCCACCACGCTGCATTTTTTCTTTTTTTTCAATTTAAGTGACTGGGGGGGGGGGGGGGGGGGTTTATACTGCTTAAACACCCGAGGAGATGCTTTTCATTCAAAGCGCTTTTGTATTGTCATTCTAGCGCTTGTTGAATTTCGGGACGGTCAGGGGAAGTAGAGCCTGGGGCTGCCTCTTGAGTGTCGTGATGACAAAAGTGTTGATTTGTGTGTGTGTGTGTGTGTGCGTGTGTGTGTGTGTGTGTGTGTGTGCGTGTGTGTGTGTGTGTGTGTGTGTGTGTGTGTGTGCGCGTGCGTGCGTGTGTGTGTGGTATCCTGGCAGGTGATTACATTTTCAAATCACCTAATGCTTCCCCTTGTAAAATCCCCATTTGTGAGATCGCGTCATGTCTGTAAACTACGGGCATGTCACGTTAAATCTCACCGTACCCCCTTCAACACACTCTGATACCGATTTATTTTGCTCGTATGTTGAATCCTTTCTATAGGGTTTTTTTGTTTTTTTTTCCAATGAACTCACCCAACACATTTTCTCTCGCGCGCGTGTCTTGCTTTTACACACTGTGGCGCAACAGTAATTTAAGATGTGCGATGCGCTTCGGCGTTACCATGGTAATCATTCGACGATTTACGGTACTTCTCGTCACAGTCAGCTTTAACTGTCAGGGGGGAGAGAGAGAGAGAGAGAGAGAGAGAGAGAGAGAGAGAGAGAGAGAGAGAGAGGGAGAGAGAGAGAGAGAGAGACGTCCGGGGGCGAACCGCGAACCCGGTGTTCCGTCGCTGGCAGCCGATGACGATTTGTTTACTTGTTGTCTTTGTTTGAAAAGCCCCATTTGTCATTTTGCCTTCAACGTACAGGAAGTTGCCTCGGTTAACGAGCTGTACCCTCCTCGTGTTTTCCCGGTTAAAAAATAAATAAATAGATAAATAAATAAATAAAAGCCTTTGGCGGTGATGTCATCGACCGAATGTATCGAATGAGCGCGAGAGCCGCTCGTAAGCAAGAATAGAGAAAAACGTGCTCGGCTTCCGGTGGCTTAAAGGCAATAAAAAGCAACTCCGTGCGCCGAATTTATTGCTGATTCCGTTGGATCCTCACCTGGAGCCATTCTCCCGTAAACCACTCCTTGGAGTCATTCAGTGGCTGGGTGGTATTTTTTTTTTACTTTGTGTTGCGACAAAAAGCCATATTGCATCATTTAATTTGCTCAAGTCATGCAAATAGGAAAGGGAGGAACGGAGGGAAAGAGGGAGGGAGGGAGGGGGGGAGTGAATAGGACAAACTCGACTTCTCCTCCTCCCCACTACACTGCCCACACACGGAGCCCTTTCTGATTATGGCAAAAAGAATAACAACCACACCATTGTGTTTGTTGGTTTCACTAATGGGAGAAGCTGGAGAGCATCACTCTCGTCCAGTCATCAGCCCGGTCCAATCGTAATGTCTTTGAGAGGGTGTGTGTCCTGCACTTATTACCCCCCCACCCCTGCCAAACCATTTTACACCTATTTCCTGAAGACATGTTTTATTGTTAGAGTTTAGCATTGCCCCCCACCAGTGATCCCCCCCCCCCCCTCTCTCTGTCTCACAAACTTTTTTTCCCCCCCTCCAAGTTTGGCATTGTATTTGGATTGTAATGTGTTTTTCCCGGGAATTTTATTGGCATCCTAGAAAGAAGTAATCCTGTAACAGCTGTTCTCCCATGTGACGCCATGCATTGCGGCTTGGTGTGACGCCAACTTTAGAGAATGTAATGTAAACATCTGAAATAGCCGGGCGAGACCTCAATTACTATTTTAGTTTCTTACGCTATTATTGCTCCTTGTTTTGTTTGATTATCATCAGCAGCTGAGCCTCATTGCCATTTTTTCTCCCTGCTTTTGAGGAAGCGTATTCACTGAGGTTCAGCAAACACAACAAACAAAAAGGTCCACTTGTTCTGGTTTGGATGATGGCGACGTTGGAGCCCATCCCAGCAACATATGGACAGAGCGCACGGCTGAGAGCACACAAATGCTACTCTCCCTGGACCTTGAGCCCATGGCACACTGAATCAATGGGCAATTTGGAGCAGGCATGCCCACGACACTGCATGGCATTGGTTTTGACAATAGGCACACACACACACACACACACACCACAAGCACAGGGTCATAGCCAGCCTGGAGCTCCCTTTTTTTATTGTTAAAATATAGAACAAAAGTGGGACTGAGTTTTACCACGGAATCTTATTTTTCTTCTATTTTTGTTCGTATGCTATTCCGTCATATTTCCTTTTGTGAATACAGACTAAATATTCAATATGTATATGTTAGTGTATCTTTCAGGTAGACCGTGGAGTTTTTGCCAGATGTTCTGCTACCTGTTGGGTAAACACAGCTCTCAAATGACTGCTAAACACAACATCTTTTCTCCAGTTGCAGTTTGTTTTGCTGTCAGAGCAGAGTGTAAGGCGTCCATATGTTGGCCTTGGGTCCGCTGCTCTAATTGACTTCGACAGACTGCTAATTTGTTGATACCAGAGTGGGAATGATGTGCCTGTCTATCTCTAAATTGGTGTTTACACATGGACCTCACACAGAGCAAAGCACTACCAGCCTGCCCGCCCCGGCTGCCCGAGCGGCGCTGCTCTTGACCTAAAACAGATTACATTGTGTTTTATTACAGCTAATTTGTTAGGTAAATAATCCTGCTAATTTCTTTTGGATTAACTCTTTATGTACTTTTGCATAATGACCCAGAGTCAGTTTTTTAGGCTCGCATTTGGCTTCATTGATTTCACGCCCGCAATCTGTCATACATGGGAATTGTAATTTGACTTTAACTGTTTATGAACCTGGGCAAGTAGGCAGTGAATGAGATTATTTCTTTGTTTATTTCTCCAAACAGACAGGGTGTTCCAACCACAATGTTTAACAAATTGGTATCAAAGGAAATAGAATTGCATAATACAGAACATTTTGTTAGGTTAGAAATGCGAAAAAATAACAGTGTACACTGCTTTGCTAGGATTCAGTTTGTGTAGATTAAGTCTCTGAAGAAACGTTTCAGTAGTAGAACGCGGTAAGAGGCCATACCACTACTACCAGTGGAAACTTTGGCGTGTCTTTGCAGCGTGAATGGTGTGAACGCTCGTGCCCATTGGGGTACTGAAGAGACGCTGCAGACTTTCACACCATGCAAGTGACTGTGTGTCTCTTCATTCTTCATTCGTCAAATGCAAAAAGCAAAATATCGAACCACACCAGGGAGTCCGGGGATCACGTAGATTTCAACGGACTACATCGTGTTTAACATGGCATGTGAAGGAATGCGTTTAATACATCTGGTGTTGCCTTACACCTTGTTGCCAACGAGGTAGCACCCCACTTTGCACGCGTCATATGTGAGAAAGATGTTGTTAACGCACAGTTACTTCCTGTTTTATTATAACGTTGTTGTACTTTGTATTTGAGTATTTGTGTACATATCGTTGCCTTTCTGTGGGGTAACTCGGGTGGAATTGGCTAATTTAAGAAATCTCTTCAGGACCGGAAAGTGATCACGTTCCTGATCGGCTCATGTCGGAAGTTATCAGCCAAACATTTTAATCGGGCATTTGGTCCTCGTTGCGTGTGGTCTCCAGATTTTCTCCACCAACAACACCGACTGCGGACATCTCCTGGAGGAGATCAAGTGTGCACGCTGCTCCCCCAATGCCCAGATGTTGTTCCACTCCCTGGATATGGATAAGGTGCCACACCGGGAGCCAGACCTGCCGAGGCTCTGCCTGGACTTCTGCCGTGAGTTCTACTACACCTGCCGGGGGCACATACCAGGTAATTATACAGATAATAATGACAATGAGTGTGACCCAAATTATAGTCACAGTGTGGATACCCGATGACTCGCAAGCAAACATACACACATGGACAGAGCAAGTCGAAGTAGGCCTCCGTTATACTTGCTCATTGCAGTCTCCCATGCCTTCGAAATTAAACTGACACTTCTGATTGTGATGAATTCCAACTCACAGCGGGCCCTCATCTCTCGTTGAGACTTGGCGGGTTTTTGTACTGTTGCAAGAAGTGGTGCGTCAGTAGTCCGGTCTGTGACTATTTATTTATCTAGCTCTTACCTCATCTGACCTCGCCTCCATTTGTTGCTGAGCTTGCCTCACCCGTCTCCTGCCTCGCTTTACGGTTGCACTTTAATGCATCAGTAAAACGACGCGCCGCGCACCGTCTACATAGACACAACACCAGCATGCTGATCAGTCGGCAGTCTGACGTGGCACATTTGGTCTCGCAATACTTTTTCATGACGCAGTAGTCTCGCTAGCTGTATTTATGGCACCAGGTGCAAAAAAGCTTTGTTCTCTCGTCTCTGTTTGGTTTGTTTGGATCGTTCATGTTTATTTTAATCGGCATAAATATGCAAACACGTGAGTTTCGTTGAAGACCTTGAATGTATTAACAGTTCACAGATTCAAGGCATTTCCTGTCACGTGAATGGAAAATATTAGATTTTCAGAGGCGGGTGTGAAAACATGCACTAACCAAAGCTCACCCAGCCTGACCAATGCACCAGAAAACTGGGCTGTTCCTGGATACTGCTCGCCAGACGCAACTCCTGGGGTTGATTCTCTCCTCGAGGTCTAGACATGACTGCCCAGCACCTTGCATTCCACACACATTGAGTCTCACTTAATAACCCGGGGCTCATGCTCTGTCACTAGTAGGTTTGACTAGTACATTCACATGAATCCAAACTTTACTAGAATATTGATTCACGGGCCTCCGTCATCTATGAAATGGAAGAAATGGCACAATCCACGGAAAAAGGAACACGTCGCCCTTTGAAAGCATTTTGTTTTCAGAACCTTCTTTTGAAGGGACGCAAGATCAGAGGTACCTGTGCCTTCGCGGTGCATACCAAACGTGATCAAACGCTTTCCGACTGTCTTTCCTCCACCGGCAAAGTCGTCTTCCAATCTCCGTCGCCACAAACTGATTAGATCTGCTGAAGTTTGAAAACAGAGATCACTTTCAAACACACCTGTCCGCGACCGACCCACATGGTACGCTTCAGCTCAAGTCCAATATCAAACGCACACATTCCATCCGAGTCCATCTGGGTCTCCATCTATTGACCTGCTCGCATATCTTGTGCCGCGGTTGAACTGCAGTTGAGGTTGGCGAGTCGGACTCGACACAGCCTCAAGAGCACCGACGAAGAGGAAGAAGAAGAAGAGGAAGACTTTGCAACTCAAAGTACATTACTTGCTCAGGAGCTGACAGACATATGGGCTCAGCGGGTTAAACCAAATAAGCTCGAGAGAGGATTCGAATCCCCCCCATCCCCTCCCCTCCCCTCCCCTCTCCTCTCCCTCCCCATCCAGGCCTCCACAGATCGGCATATGTGGTGACGAATGACACATTTATTTTTCTACAAAGGGTTGTTGTGTATGTAAAACTGCTGAAGTGCATCAAGATGTCAAGTACTTTGGGTGGGCCACCCAGGTTGCCTTGGAAGATAACCAGATGGAAGTATAACTTTAGCGCTGGGGAGCCGGGAATATGGACAGAGTTCTGTGTCTCTCTCTCTCTCTCTCTCTCGATCTCCTCACTCCTTTGCTCTTCGTGTCCTCTCTTTTTTTCCTTATGGCACATGCCTACATGGAGGAGGACAAATATCGCACACCTTACTCAATGCATTATAACTTGATCAGGTTGAATACATCTTTTCGTAGAACTACGTTTAGCTTGCACGTAAACGGTGTTGGTGCTTTAGAATATTTATGGACCTGAATCTTATCATGAGAGGCAGGTAGCAGAGAATATAACCACAGGCACGAAGAGATTATTTCAAATGAAGTGGTAGCCTTTTACTGCATCCATGACTCGTCCTGCTCCCATGCTGCCGGCCCTCGATCAGGGTACGTGCTTAGTCCCCATTGCTCCATAAAGACGCTTACTGCCTTGACTTTCACTTCTGCATGGAGGCCTCCAACCTTCTCAGAACTGCTCTTCTCTCAAATCTTCCTGCGCTCTTGGCTCACAACCCCACCACCCCCCCCCATCCTGCACCCGAGGTCCCCAACCAGCATGCTTAAGATAACTGCAGACACAAGTGAGTGGGTGGTATGGCCAGAGTTCTGCCTGTGTGTGAGTGTGTGTTTGATCTCCGTGTTGTGTTTAGATGTTTGAGGGGATATCCTATCACCTCCAGTATTTGGTGCGGTCAGCTCGTGTGGTCGGTGTGTGGCAGGAGGTGGAGATGAAAGGAGGGACAGGGAGAGTCCTGTTTGTGTTTTTATCACTGGAGTATTTGCTCTCCTCTGTCCTCTGAGGGATTGACTAAAGGAAACAATATTGCCCAGATTGTTTTTAGGTCGCCAAGGGCCTCTGAGACCCACTGCACACTTTGCTATTTTCCAGGAATAGTGTTGTGACTGCAGACGCTGGAGGCGTAGCTGCGCGTGACTGCTGTGTTTACGCAGATCACTTTTGGCCGTGGCATTGAAACCTTTTAGGGAAACCCACAGGGAGAGATATTCGCAATGATGAGATAGCACGAACTCACACCTTAACTCAGTAAAAAACAATCAGTAAGCCGAGTCGATTCTATGTAGCACAAACTGTAGAGCTTATGATACTATCGTTAGACCCCCTTCATTCAAAAAAGGAAAAACAAATCTCAGGAACCATTTGGAACCATTTAGAAATTCAATCCCTCATCCTGAAAACATTTTTTGTTCATTCCGAATCACACGGCATATTTAACAGGTTGACTTTTTCGTTTTGCATGCTGTGCCCATGTGTTGCTCTGAAATACAAAACATCCAGACCATCTAAAGATGCTTAAGTATTGCCAGAATAACGAAAGAAAACCATTAAACCACCCTGCAGGGGCGTTCAGACAGGCGGTAGTAAGAGTAAGTAAAACAAGCAAGCAAAGCCACTCCAACGCTCCCAAACATACAAGCGCATCTCATCGGTTGTCTTAAATGCTTTTTACAGTTATCGTACAGCAACACGACTTCAGAAACACACAGAGCTCAAGAACCATTAAAACAATGTTGAAGGAAATGAATTAGATCTGCCCTGTGTTTGTATCAGACCCTCTTCATATGTCTGTATCTGTTGTGTTTGCTAGAACTGTTCCAGGCCGATGTGGATGAGTTCTGCCAATACTACGGGAGGAGAGATGCCAGTCTGTGCTTTCCAGATTTTCAACGAAAGCAACTACAAGGGCAAGATTCCAACTTCTTGGAAGACGAGAAAAGGTTTGTAACCTTGCGTTTACTATTCGGGGATGCAAGACATAACATATTCTTTTTAAGAAATGAGCTTTGGCCAGTTCTTCAATGTGTTTCAGCCAATTTAACTTCCCCACTTCATTTGTACTCATGAGTTAAGATTCATGACGTTCACCTGTGTTTTTTTAATGTTTTTATAGAAACATGTTCCGGGTTTACTGGTCCATTTTGACATGGTCCAAACCCTCAGACAGAAATGCTATGCCATCTCCTTTCTAATCCTAAAGTTTGTCCAGACTGCATTTGCTCAGCTTTGCTCGCATAATGAAAATGCTTATCCTGCGTCATTCTGGTTGCCTCTCACAGCAAAGGTCTGTGCATCACAGAGGGCTTTGCCCCTTTGTCCGTGGGGGGATGCCTTTCATCTCTGTTTTCCCTGAGGGAAGAGGACCGAGCAGTATGTGCACCTGAATAGCAACGACCAACATTCAGTCAAATAACTTCTAAAATTTAGAGCGTCACGGGATAACTTGTCGCTTCTGCTTCTTATTTCCGGAGAGGTATAACTCATGAGAAAAAATTCTTACATAAGAGGCTGGCAGAAAGGGTCTGAATTAAATCAGTAATTACTCAGGTACCTGCACATATAATAATAATTCAAGATATTTATTGTTATGTGTATAATTTAACAGGTTACTCTGTACAATGAAATTCTTATTTTGTAAAGCCCTCCGTCCACAAAGCTACAGATGTAAAAAAGAATAATAATAATAAGTAAAAAATGTATAAATATGTGCATGCGTTAGGCATACGCTAAAGTTCACAATGTGTTTTTGCCAATATTTCACAAGAATTGGTGGCAAAATTTTCTCCATTTATAGGTTGTATTCTTCTGCTTAAGAATTTTACCACCCTGGCAGATGGCGAGTCACCAAATTAGTTAACCGGGAAAGACGAGGAAAAACGGTTTGCAAAGTGCAATATCCCACTTCTAAACCAATGGCACGACAATAACAAAAGTCAGTCGCGGCAAATATCCAGTGCTTGCTTTCCCTAGACAGCATACACCTTTCTGCTGAATATTTTCTGCTTCCTTCCAAATATTACTGCTCAAGATTCTACCGTGTCCCTAATACCTCATTATTGGATCATTGACGGCCACCGTGGGTCTCTGACCCTTTGTCTCCCTCGTTACCCAGGAAACACAAACACAACTGCTACTGTGCCCAGGAGGTGTTGAGTGGTCTGCGGCAGCCGGTGGCCGTGGTGCACTGTGGGGATGGATCCCAGCGGCTCTTTGTCCTGGAGAGAGAGGGAATCGTCAGGATACTCAACCATGACCTCGAGCTCATCAAAGAGCCCTTCCTGGACATACACAAGCTGGTGCAAAACGGCCTGAAGGTAGGAATGAGCCGGCCTTTGGTGGTAACACGTCGGAGAGATTTGCAGCGGTAATCTGATGATGTGGATATGATTTCAGCTCGGCTTTAACCAGCAAATGTGAAAGGAACGTGATGGAGTTGGAGACATTGTTAGCGTATAGAAGAAGAAGTCAGTGTGTGAGGAACACGTACAGCTACAAGACAAGACAAATTCCTTGAAAATGGTGCCTGCTCACTATAAGTTTTCAATCACATAATTGCACCAAACAGGCGGTCATTCATCAAGAGGATAATCATTACGCCATCATCTGCTGTACATACAGCACACACTGTGTCTGCTGCTAATTTTCTGTTAATTGACCCTAGATGGGTCAATGGCTTTCCTAATGTCTCCCATATTGTTCCTATAAGGGTTCTAACATCCCCCCATGGTTACGCAGTACTCTGGGTGTACGCTTTTGCCTTCTCCTGCTCTCCTTGTGTAAAATGATGAGGAGTTTACTGAGGGGTCCTTTCTTTCTCTCTCTCTCTCTCTCTCTCTCTCTCTCTCTCTCTCTCTCTCCGAAGAGCTGAAAAGAAGATTATGTCTATATTTCTGTCAGGAATAAGTACCTACGTTGTATTTACATAGTCTGCCTGCCAGAAGAGGGGACATGACAGAGGTGTCATTGGGGCAAGTACTCCTACTTCTACTTCTGTTTGGCTTTGAGCCCTCTCCGAGAAACGGGGCTGAATAAAGAGATACGGTTACATGAAGTATATTTTTTCATTAGTCCAAAGTAGGTCTGTAAAAACACACATCCAAAAGGGTAAATAGTAGTTGCTGGACAGACGATCATGTGTCTGCACTCTACACAATGGACAGGTGACCGTTCAGGTAGTCTGGATTTTGTGTATCTGAGTGTATCTCTGTATAGCGTGTTGCTCAAAAAAAAAAAAAAAAAAAAAAAAAAAATATATATATATATATATATATATATATATATATTTTAGATTATTCTTTATATTATATAATTTCTGTCTTTTCTCATTAACATCTTCTTAGCCAGCTGTGTCATAGAGCAGCTGTGTGGTCTGAGATTATTATTATATTAAAAGTCTTAGATATATTGTTCATAATACAACATATACCACAGCTTTAAGAAATCTCTATGGATCTCAATGGTAAAAAAACAAACAATAATCTTCAGAAAATGTCCCGACATTTGTTTTATTTTATCCGGATCCTTACTTCATCTCAGATTGGAGGATTGTTCATAAATTGGTGAGATGGGTCAGCTGGTATTTCTGTGGGGCACACTCCCAGACAGGAAGTTTATCTATCACGCATGCCTCCTGCTCCTCCACAAGACCCTCTGCTTACACGGAGTCAAACGGAGCGCAGCAATTGAATGTGCAACTGCAAGCCCCCCTCCCCCTCTACCTCCCCTACACCCCCCCCGCGCAGTGCGCTGTCACTGCTCCGCATCTTATCGTCGTTCAATCCAAACTGGTTGTGGATAAAGTGATCATTACGACAATTAGACGTGGCTCGATCCCCCGCAGGCCCCAGGAGTCCTATACTGTGATGTTGGCTGCCGTAACGGGCTCCCAGCCACGGGGTGAGGGGGGGGCCGGGGGAGGGGTGAACAGAACCCGGGGAGGGCTAAGGTGTTTACTGGCAGCATCAACAGGATGGAGCAGCCTTTATACAGAGAGAGGAACCCAGGCTCTCAGGAGACGGGGGCAGATAACGGGTTTATCATCAGCTCCACGCACATGCTTTGATTGTAATGTTCTGTGTTTCCTTCGGCTCCTCTATCCCCCTCGTTCCACTGATCCCCCCCCCCCCCCCCACTCGCCACCCCCCCCCGGTGCCAATTAAGCTGAACTGCACAGAAACAATGCTGTGCTGTGGTGGTGTGGGCTCCTAGCTGCGCTGTGGGTGTTCTTCTCCTGAAATTCAATCTCTATACTATACGAGATTTTGTTGCTTCAGCTCAAAAGGAGTCCAGTTTGTTTCTGTGTGTATATAACTACTAATACAAAGGTTGACATATTATGAATATAACTTTAACTCATCAAATAAAACATCAGGTTTAAGCAACATTCTATGCATAGTGCTTAAAAGTATAGTTATTTCAAATATTCAGACAGTTATGCCACAACATTACAGTTTGTCATCGCTGCCTTTCAAATAAAATGTTTTTTATGAATTTGGGGACACGGTAACACCATATCATTCTATATGTGCCATATAAACACAGGTAGGGTTCAGTTTGTGAACTCCATCTTCCCAATTAAACATGTTTATCAGATAGCAGTGCAAGCATTGCATAAACCTTTGTGGATGAGATGACAACTTTTATTACAATTAAATAAGACAACAACAACAATTATGCTTGAACTTGTTTGTAGCAGCTCTCGTGGCAACAACCTACTCTAAGCAGCGAATGTTCAGTCCGAAAGCAACTCTCTTTGATAAAACTATAAATTGTGCGCTATGCTTTCTGACGCTAAGCTTCAGCCTCTGTCCAAACACAGCGCATTGCACTCTACAACTTATGACAACTCACGAAAAGGCACTTGAGAGTAACTATTATTATTATTATTAATAGTGAGAGTGAGTTGTATTAATGTGGACGTCTGTGAGCAGCATCCCAAAACTGACATGTATCAGCCTATGTGGCGTGGAGGAGGGAGGAGGGGGGACCAGCAATAAAGTCACAGTTTACCCGTAAAACAAATAAGTCACAGCATGTTATTCTTTCTTTCCCTGCTCCGCTGACAGCTGCTCTGCATTCTTAGCGGCACATCACAGGCTCACGCGGACTAAAATAAGAGGCTTCATCTTTAATAGAACTCATAATGATCTCACAATTATCGGTGGATTCTATCTTAATGTTGGTTTGTGGCGGGATTATTGTTGCTGTGAAATTGTCCCAGGATATTCAGGAGGAGTTTTGGTCCTCGTTTTATGCGTGAGGGAGGTGCGAGCGTAGATGCCGCAGGTAGACTTTGATTGAGGGTGAAATCGACTCGTCTGAGATATCGTTTGGTGGAGAAATGCCCACAAGATAATGAGGGAGGATCAAAAGGCTCAGGGTAACAATGCGCGAGCCAACAGGTGCATCACAGAGACAGCTGCCCCTGAGCAATTGGAAGTCCCAGCGCCGTGTGCATGTGTGAGACACTGCCCCCGCCACTCAGAAAAGACCAGCACTTCAATTTAATGCACCGTGAGATGTGAGATAACAACCGCTGCCCATCCCTGCGCCGCACTTTCCCAGCCCAGCTCAGTGTTGTGACGCCAACACTTTGACAGAGCCAAAGCCGGAGCCCCCCCAGGAGAACACTTGGAGGGAGAAGAGGAATGCAGAGGCAGGTGTTTGTGAAAAATGAAGAGATAATACCTCGTGAGAGATTCAATCACGGCCCGCTGCCGGACTGTGGGAGAATGATGGCACTCATAAAAAAAACACCAAGATGCTCGAGAGGAGAAAACGAAGGGAATGAGATTTAATTTGACATTAGTATAGATTGCGGTTTGGAGACGGTAGGAATAATAATCAGTAACATTAACCTTTAGTACAGTACAGTATGGAGGTGGATAAGTGTTCATTACTTGCTTTTTAGAAACCAGATAATCTGATTTAACCCTACATGTGTTCTCCTATATCGACTGCAAAACACAGCACGGTGCATGAATTGTACTTAACTGTTGTAGTTGATAAAAATGTACTATGACTCAAGACAAATAGCCAAAACAGCTGAATCTAATCACGGCTTTTAAACCCAGAATGCAGAAGCTGAAAAATTCACTTTGCAGCCGACGATATGTGAAACCTGTAGTTTCTCTAAATGATCCGTGTTTGTACAGCACACAGACTATCCTGACTGTTACAGCCGTTGGAGCCGGCTCAATGTTTGCCACTTGGACTCCTTATAATCGAGGTATCTCGTTGTTGACTCTGCAGCGAAAAGCTTTCTAAAGCACTGTTGGTTTCTTGTTTAGCTTGTCATTAGCAATGGAGCTAATATTTAAGCCCTTTTAACCACTTTGTATCACGGTGGTCCTCCTTTGACTCCTTGTCGAGGCGTCCTTGGAGTTGCGGTCTTTGACCCGGTCCTTATGTCAGGTTTATTTTGGGGATGTGGGTCAATGCATCCCGAAATCTTAACCAATGGCCCCCGCAGTTCAAGGTGAGGTTGGGAATTTCTCTTTCTAAGACGAAACCTTTTGACATTGTTTTGCAAGGAGCGGCCACCTCTGCTCTCGCTAACATCCAGCTGTGTTGTGAGCTTCAGTCAGGGGCCACATAGCTCCTTTTTGGGGGTGGGGGGGGGGGGGGGGGGACTTTAGCGATCTGACGTTTAGTAATACTCGTAAATTTGCCGCGGAGGAACTCTGCCTCCTGGCGATTGGAGATTTATTGGTCAACTTTCACAACATTTCATTTTATATTCAGACGAACTGAAACCCTGTGGCTTTTCACGTGGGTCTTCAAGTACATTTCTCTGCAGAGAGCCATCTCTTTTTCATCGGCATTCCGCCTATATGTCACCGCCTCACTTCACCGGGCCAAGCCAAACAGAACCGGGAGATTCAGTACACATATTTTACTTTACTTTTACTATTTGAGAAGTAAAGCTGAAGGACGAGGTGAGTTAATTGTAGCCATGTTACTAGTTAGTTAGTGCGATAACGTCTCTGCATGATGCTCACTTCTGCTTTTTTCGTTTTTGTTTTTAGAGACATACAACCACACGGACCACTTTATAAACATTATTCACACCTAAGCCTTGCATTCTGTTCATTCTTTTGTCAAGAAGAAATAGAGAGGCGGAGAACAACATTAAAAAAAAAAAATAGTGGGGCGACCCGGCTAGTCTTGCCCAGGGAATGAAATGCTGCAGCTGATTATTACAGCTAACTATGACGGAAGGACCACCAGGGTAGTGACAACTGATGTAGCTGCCTCCGGGGTGAGACAAAGGTTTACATATTACACAAGCAATTTAGATGTTTTCTAAACATGTTGCCAAGACAGTGGGAGTTGGCAGCTCTTTGCCCCCCCCTGTCCCCCCCCCTCCCCTCCGCCCACCTTCCCCAAACGCCTCCAAGCCTTGAATTCTGCATGGATTTTTATTTTTTTTTTTTTGTTGTGTAAACCAGGAAGGAGCGAGGGGACGGGGGAGCAAAAAGCACGCACTGAAGCACTCTGCACTTTTGTGCTCTCTATGAACTGTGAGTGAGCTAATAAATTCTTTCAGCCACTCAGCGCAGCATTCAGGGATATCCCCCAAAGATTACACACACAAATCACTGCACAATGGAGGCCACCGGGACGGCCGGCCCGTCACAGGGGCCCCCCCGACCCCGTGGACGAGCGCACATAACCAGGCTGCCGAGAGGACTGGGCAAAGGCATGGAGGGAGGGAGGGAGGAGGGGGGGGTGGTTGTGGAGGAGGTGCAGCTCTACCCAGAGTCAAATGCTTTATAATGGTTGGTAATGGTATATTCAAGGAGGTTGGTGAAGGTGTGAAGGGAAGCAGGCGAGGCTAGAAAATGAGAGAATGAGCATAGCAGGGGTGTGAAAGGGAATGTGATGGATGAAAAAGGGGTGGTGGGGGTGGGGGATTAGAGAGGTTGGAGAATTAAAGAGGTGGTGGGTGACGGGTGTGTAGGGGTGGCATGTAGTGGTCTTGGTGATGATGAAGATGACCTAGGAGGAGGAGGAGGGGGGGGGGGGGGGGGATTTCAACCCCACCAGGCGGAGCAGAAGCCAAGGAGGGGACATAATTAACTGCTGGATCTTTTGTGTTCCTCATCTGACTGCAGGGTGGAGATGAAAGGGGCCTGCTAAGCTTGGCATTCCACCCCAATTACAAGAAGAATGGCAAGCTCTACGTCTCCTACACCACCAACCAAGAGCGCTGGGCCATCGGACCGCACGACCACATTCTCCGTGTGGTTGAATACACCGTTTCGAGGTAATGGGAGGAGTGTGTGCCAAATCTACCTTGATAATGGGCCCTTCGGTGCCTGAAAGGAAACCAAACAACTGCAGCTGCCTCGCAGTCTGCACAGCAGTAACTATTGGGGATTAACACATCCCACTTATTTAACCACTGAAGAAATACAGGACAGTTTACAATGTGGTCAGTCGTAATTCGTAGCAATGCGTGACTATTGGTGAGTCCCACGATCTGCTTCTCGGTGCACGCTCTCTTTTCACTTCCTTGGGAATTCAAATGTTTCGATTTGTAAAAATGGGAAGCTTTTCAAATGCAACAAGATTATTGACAATCGGTTATTCAATAAATCTATTGAATGTTTAAAAAAAACAGTTCTGATCACAAAACCCTGAAGGGGCACGTTTTTTTTTGCCAGAAACCGTAGCAACCGCAGAGCTTCAGGAGCACCAGGAGCAGTATCATGGGCGTTCATTTGTTATGACAGCAACGTGTGACTTTTGCTGTGTCGATGCCTCACACTCACTTCACAACAACCTGTAATTTAGACAACAATCTTTTCTCACGAACGTGTTTTAGTGTTACATTTTAATTTGCGTAATCACAGTTGTGATTTGAACTTAATGATCTAATCTTAATTATAGTCTTGGTGACTACAGCGTGTAGACAGCAATGACAGTTAAGGTATTAAACCTGAAATTTCGAGAGTCATTTTTCCTTTGCATGTTGTTTTTTCTTTTTTTCTTTTTAAATTGCAGGGCTACTTAAAGTAACGCATTATGAAATATGTGTTGCTGATACTGCAATGCCTCACTTTTCCCTAGTACTTGTGCAACATTTTGGAATCCTGTGGCACATCTCCACCCACTGTCTTTACCTCACTATGACACTGCTTTGGACTAAATGTCTCCAGACAAACTATTTAAACTAATTCATTTAATGTTAGATTACGTTTTGTTTGTCTTGTCAGCATTACCCATACTTTTGTATCATTTTATGCGCTGACACAATTATGCCTTTGAGTATTTAGAGAGTAGTTTTTTTGTCATGTTAGTCAAACATTCTTCAGTGGATTTTACCCAAATCAAGAGCCAACTAAGCTGCTTCCCGAGACCCCGATACAGTGTGTACTGTAGCATGAATAAATGTTGTCCATACTAGTGACAATGACGCGTTGACCTTTTCCTCAGGAAAAACCCGAACCAGGTGGACATGCGGTCCGTCCGGGTGCTGATGGAAGTGGCAGAGCTGCACAGGAAGCACCTCGGGGGTCAACTTCTGTTCAGCCCTGATGGTCTGTTGCACATCGTCCTGGGAGATGGCATGATCACCCTGGACGATATGGAGGAAATGGATGGGCTCAGGTGAGAGCAAAGGCCTTGAAGCTCACACTACAAGCAGCAGCAGCAGCCATTGACACTTGACGCGCTACGAGCCGAAGCTGGACTGGTCTCAACTTTGTTTGGCGCTGAAATGCTTCAGCGAAGCGCCAACAAATCCCGTTTCACTCTGCCAGAGGTCAATTCTCAGTGCTAATTAATAAGCACAAGTATGTCAACTAGCGCTTGGCGGCTATGTTGCTTTCGTCGCTCGCAGTGTGTACGCTACATGACAATCATATATATACATATGTGATGGGTGCTTGTGTTTGTGCCCCAAGATTAAATCCCTTCTAGCTCCAACAATCGTGAAGGTGTATTTTTTTTGTGTTTTTTGAATGCAGTGATTTCACAGGGTCCGTCCTGAGGGTAGATGTGGACACAGACTGCTGTACATCCCCTTATTCCATACCGCAGGACAATCCGTACTTCAACAGCACCAACCAGCCACCTGAGATCTTTGCTCATGGATTACATGACCCAGGCAGGTGAGTGAAACATTGGCAAACTAAACATCTGTTCCTGGGAAAAACGGGAAAAAAGTTCAAAAATTAGCTTCTTAAATTGGGACCGACTCAAACGTTTGTAGCTCACGTAGAAATTATTGTAACGTGCTCTTTTACTGCCGCGGTATTTATGAAAGAGTTTTATAAGCGTTACCTGTGTCTCCTGTATTGATCCCGTATTCTGTTCTGCAGATGTGCAGTGGATCGGCTTCAGACGGACAACGGGAGCCTCCTGATGATCTGTACGGATGCCAGCGGCAAAAACGCGTCAGCAGGAAGAATTCTGGAGATTACCAAGGGGAAAGATTACGGTGAGTCGGAATTTCCATGAGATTTTCCAAAAAATGTTTTCTTCTTTTTAAGTTTGGAATTATTACTTGAGAAAAAAATAAGAATACTGACCTCTTTGATAATCTTTCCAATTTATTTTATTTTATTTATCTGTTTTTACAAATGTCTTTCATTTTGTAAGAACATGGTGTTTTGGCAACATGAGACAGGGATGGGTGAAGGTAAAAATGATATGATATAGAAATTCCCCCCTCTGTGGAGTGAGGATTTGCCAAGAGGTTGTGAGATTGCTTCCACAAGTGAGATTTAGCGCTGTCAGTAACAATAACTGCGCGGATGATGGTTCAACATCGTTGAAAACTCAGCTGAGAGGAGACTTGCTTCTTTCACATTCAGCAAATAATCAATAACCGCAGCAGGATCGCACTGTTGGCCTTCGCACAAACATAAACTGCTGTTTGTTCCAGATTTAATGTCTGGTTTTATTCGCCACAGTGAGTTGTTATTTTGGCAACCAAACAATACTCCCTCAACCGGGATTTCTTCCTCCAATTCAAAGTGCCGGCCTTTGCCACAGACCAGTCCTCAGTTGGCTTCTGGCAACTCTACAGTGAGCATTGTTGGAAAATAAGCACACAATGTCTTGGATCACAGATTTTTAAAGACAGCAACCTTCCATTCATATTACCCTTTGCCAAGACAACCCTAACCCGGGAAAACATGCCATAGTGCCTCAACACCACCCTCATTAATACAAGATTACTGCATTCTGTTCCCATTTCGATGAAGCCCTACGTGCTCTACAGAGGAAGAACTAACATATATTCTTGTCTAATTTAAAGTAAGATGCACTCTTTTTTTCTCATTGAATGAAGTGAATTATTTCAGCAATTATGTCTAATAGACAACCGACTGAAAACTAAGATGGTTCGTCCTTTCTTATTTCAATCACTTTTTTCAGTCGATTGTAACCACCGGGAAGCAGGATGCAGATTGATGGATTAACATATTGATTAGATTGCCTCTGTCATAAAACTGTGTGCACTGTAGCTGCACGCAGGCCGCGGGCGCCTAAATCAGACCTCTGCCTCCTCGTCCGTCCGCAGAAAACGAGCCGTCTGTCTACGACCTGCACTCCAGTGGAGGAGCCCCACCCGTGGGGGGCTTCATCTACAGAGGCTGCCAGTCCAGAAGACTTTATGGCAGCTACGTGTTTGGAGATAAAAACGGGTAAGAACGAAGGAAAGAACAGCCGTCAAGTCCTTGTAGGACAAGCAGAAGATATTTAATTACACTCAGGATAGATTCTTTCCACTTAAGGGAGGTGTTGTGCTCTCTGGCTCACTGGCAGACCGTTGAGGTTATCGGTTTCATCTTTGCTGAAAACCGCACTGATGAACCGAAAATGAAGTTGCTACATGATCCGGCACCTTTGCCCACTTGTTGACTGGCTTTATTTTAAAGACACAGTAGTGGCTTTATCCTACTGCCGTTAAAGCACACTTGATTTAAGCCCCCAAATGACGCTCTTCTTCCCTTCTCAAACTGAAAATCTGTTCCTCGCATCGGCGTGTGCCAAAGTAAACACAAATTTCCATCCACGTGAGGGGAAAACAAGTTCTATGTTACTGTCACCGCTTCGTCACGGCCCATTCAGTGTAAATGGAGATTAGACATCCTGCTCTGTGCTGTTCACACTTTTCTTTGGTTTGTAATTCATCCTACTTTGCCGATGTCAAACACTGACGCTTGAGTAAACAAAGGAAGTAAATAGCAGAGGGCGAGTACACTATCAGGAGTCGGCACTGCGTTTAAAACAATGTGTTTCCGGTTAATTTTGGGTCCTGTTACAATTTTAAGGGCACACTGTAGTGGCCAAGTGAAGGCTCCAGCGTGATGTTTGTTTTGAAACTAAAAGCTGAGGTCTTAAATAACAGCGTGTGAGACACGGGGTGGAAAAGTGACGGGTCAGTGAACCATGTTGCATGAAGCTTAAGGTGTCTCGGTTTCCAGATCTCTGGGCCTAATATTGCGGCACACGAATCTTTGGGGTGTTTCTCACTTGTTATAAACGTTAAAAAAAAAGTGCATTTCATGAGTAGTACGGAACAGTATCTGGGGCAGATGAATTCATTTGCCTGCTCTGTGTGTTTTGTTTGTCTCAGTAACCTGCGGATCCTCCAGAAGTCTCCTTTGTCAACGTCCGCCGGCGGTGAACAGTGGCAGGAGAAAGCTCTGTGTCTGGGCTCGGCCGGCTCATGTGGCTACCTGCTGGTGGGACACATCTTGGGTTTCGGAGAGGATGAACTAGGTGAGTGGGTCAAGGATGAGAAACCTACACAGTTACGCAGAATTCTGTGTCTCTGCTCAGATTTTCATTCTAGCTCTCGAGTCTCTCTCGAGTTTTGTTCCTCCTCCTGGCGTCCACATTTAGTGACAGTTATTTATTAACATATTTTCCCTTGTGGGTTTTTACTACGTCAAACCCTTGAAAGCTTGCTGGCCTCCAATGACAGATAGCAAAACCATGGAAAAATCCTGGCTTAGAGTAATTTTTGTTGTATATTTATCAACGTAATGTCATGTTAACATCACGTCGAGGAATTTTCCAGTGGGTTTTTCAAAAATGTGTTGGTAATGTTTCACACAGTCGGGTGCATAAGAACATGATTAAAAATCTGGAAAAATTGCAACACCTATCCATCAAGGACTATCGCTCAGATCTAAATCTCCAGGGGAACTAATAGCGTTCTCACCCCGATGGCACATTCCCAACAGGATATTAAAGAGGGCGCACTTCCTTTTGAATTCATTTCCACTTCCATAAGATAGCAACACTATTCCAAAAGACCCACTTATGAGCTGTGTTTAGCGGCCACCTACCATGCAATGTTTTCCATTGGTAGAGAGACGAGTTACTGTTTACCTGGGGACGGAGGGGCGGGCCAAAGGGGAGCGAGCGGGGGCTGTAACGTTAAAATAAGGCAGGGTGAGCTGAGGTGAGAGGACTAATACGACACAGAGCATTTTTTACCAGCTGGACCCCCACCAAAGACACAGAGTCATTAACCGCCAGCTCTGGTGTTTCTGATTAGCACGAACACACGATGTGGCTCACTCCCACAGATCACATCAGAAAATGTTTCTGCCAGGTTCTTGAGTTATTATTTGTCGAGGTATTTCAAAGATTCCTGCATCCGATCATGATTTGCAAGTGGTGCAAGAATCATTGTGGGGGTGGGCCTGTGTCCCACAGTATAGGCTCCACACACACATGTCTACAATTTTATCCCCCTTATAGGAATTTTCTTGTTGGTTTTGTTCCTCATTGAATTATCCGCCTTGTTCCCGGTCGCCCCGTTAAACTCTTTCCTACAGTCCTTTGGCCAGCGCAGCAATGCAGAAGCTACAGCCACACTCATTCTCCCTTTGTCCTCATGCCACCGCCTGCTTCCTCTTGTCCCCCCTCCTTATTTTAGTATCGCACGAATGGAAGAAAGATTGACCATCGGGACACATGTTGCACGTTAAACATCTGTGATGCGAATAGAGCTGATGGCCCCTTTTCGATGTTCCTATTTGCAGGTGAAGTCTACATGCTGGCAAGCAGTAAAATCATGGTGCAGTCAAACAGTGGGAAACTCTACAAGCTGGTTGATCCTAAACGGTACGTTTAGAACCCTTTCTTCATCTCAGGGGATGGTTTGTTTCACATTTGGAAAGAGGCTTTGAGTTTACCAATTTTTTTTCAGCCATCGATTGTTTGTAAACTGTTAACGTTTATAGTTTTGGTCTTAGTCCCATAAGTAAGTGATCCAGCCCACCATCCCTAATCCTCCATGCTGGCTTTGTTTCATGGTGGTCATACAAGACTCTCACGACACCACGGAGCTATAGAAGATCACGTTTCACTGCAGCAATATCTTTTCTAATATTCATCCTGAAAATCCTCACTTACCCACACACGTCCTCTCCACACACACACACACACACACACACACTTAATACGTCACTGTCGCCAGAGTTTTTGTGCCCTTCAACGAGTCATCACATGACCACCTTCCTAAGCCAAAGCAAATGCTGAGCAGGAAGTGGAGAATATGCATAGCGTGTCAAAATGTTATGAGAGTTAAGTATTGCGAACAGAGACACTCACTAGCTGCTCACCGCAGTGAAGATCGCCCGCCGGTTATTTTCACAGCCTTCGACAGTAGGGTTCACTCTGCTGCGAGTCATGAAAACACAAAGGCACCTGCTGTCGTGCGCGGCGACTTCAACGCCACAGCACACGTAGAAACACCCACGCGTTCTCGTAAGTGACTCATAGTAAACACAAAGTCATTTTACGGCAACAACAGCAAACGCAGCGAGGCAATGGATTCTATTTCCAAGACAGTCCAATGTTCAATTAATTAATGTCAGGCAACTGAAACGAGTGGGTAACGCTTCATAATCCAAACGTGTCATCATCCTAACCATGTCCACCTCAGTATCTGACATGATTGGGATAGGGACAGATGTATAAACCATTTGTGCAAAGGCATGAATTCCTCCCACGCGATACAGTGTGGATGCATAAGCATGTGTGTCTGATATACTACCACCCTGGTAGGAAGGAAATTCCTCCCCCATGTTTCTGCCGATCTTCTTATCAGCGCTTTTGCGGGGAGTTGATAGAGTAGGATCCTGCATGGTTGGGCCCATTAAGTCCAACTTAAAAGTCCCAAATTACAAACGTCTCTTCAGGGTCCGTCCAATTTGATTAGGAGAGAATTTGCATTGCCAAGGATCACGATAGAAACAAATTGACAGCTGGTTCCCGGGTGCCGACAGTGCCACCCAAGCATTAGCACAATTCATCTGACCAAAAGATGTTTAAAAGGCTCCCAGGGGGCCTCGCTCCATATCTTTGCTTTCTCACATCACTGCGGGACGCATTTCTCTAAAAAGAACAATTCCTTCCACCGTCAAGTGGACTTTGTTTAGTCTGTGCGTATCCTGTGGTGTCGGAGTCTTGACTCCCGATTCACTCTGGCTTCATTATTGTGATCTTGTTACAGCGAGGACGGAGTGGGGGTGACGGAGGGAGTAACTCGGGTAGCTAACATGTCTGACCTCAGCGCGTTATCGAGTCTGGTGGTCCTCCCCCCTTTTTTTTCCCGTTTCCATTTGGACCCTGAAGCCCTCTCATGAAGAGGTTTGTGAAGAGTACGGTGGTTTCTGTGGTCCATTATGGCATCTAGCGCCGTGATTGGGAACATGGAAGGGAGAAGAGGAACTGAGGGCGGCTAAAGGCTTACAGGGAAACATCAGCCATAAAATCCCTCAGCGGTGTTTGTGTAAACATGTCCTGGCCACATGACTTCATTTCTAGGTATTTGTTTGTCAGTTGGAGTACCCCTCCAATAATAAATAGGCCACCATGCATTTTGAAACATGTTCAATGTGTGTGGTGTGAGGGTGTATGTGGGAGAGAGAGGGAGAAAGAGAGAGAGGCCAAAAGCAAGACAGGGCTCGTTTATGGTATAGCAAATGGATAGAAGTATTTCCAATCATAAATAGTGTATATATATACTATATAAAGCTCAGTGGTAAGTGGACCTTTTTTTGCATTTAGATTCCCTTCACTGTTCCACAAAGGATAAAAAGGCGAGTTTTGATTGTGTAGCACCTTTTCAACAATAACGTAACGCAGTGTTTTACATATAAAAATAGCATTGAGATTTCAAAGAATATATAGATGAACAAAATAATCATATATTTGATTTAAATAAAATATAATTACAGCTTTCAACAATCTTTCAACAGGCCGCTAGACAGAAAGAAACTTTAGTTTGACTCTGGTTTAGCTCACGCATACAGTATACTGCATGTATTAATGGGTTTGGCTACTTTTCACCCCCATTGAGTCTGCATTTGATAGGATAATTATCCTATTATCCTGTTATGAGAGCATTATATTCATGCCAGGAAAAAACAATGCGAGAAAGTAAACAGAAACACACTGAAAAAGTACACGATGATACAGCATAAAAGCAGGTTTCATTCAATACGTCATGGGAGTCATATGGCAAAGTCACATGTTCATCATAACATGATTCTAAAAGCACATGTTGTGCTCCATCCATGTAGTTGGACAGAATAAAGTTTGCGCACACAGTCGGTTTAATTGCAGCACACAGCCAGACCCCCTGTGGATTTCTGGTGTAAAAAGGCAATTTGCCTTTCTATTTGTTACAGCACCCCCCCCCCCCCCCCCCCCCACCTCCACAGAGAGGAAGGGAGAGCGGTATTATGAAAGCGTTTTCACACGTCCAGCTTTTGTCAGCTGCAGGCTGATTGAATTATAGTGAGCAGAGGCCTTAAAAAAGACACGGCAAACTTCAAATGAGACCTCCTTCATGGGCCGCGTTAGCCGTGGAAGTCACAAATCACTGGAGGCAGAGGGGGAGGGAGACAGCGGCTTCTCGTTCGTGGACATATTTATCTGTATGTGTGCCTTCCCTTTTTTTTAAATATGTGTACAGATATACAATGTGTGGGTGGTGCTGCGTACACGAGAACATGCATGTATCCGTGAGCCTGTGTGAGGCTCCCAGCGCGCTGCAGGGAAAAGAAAAAGCCTTTTTCTTTATTTTTCTATCCCTCCTAAATCTTCCTACATCTCTGCTGTGGTCCTCCCCTTGACAAAGCTGCTTTGCCAGTCGCACTGAAAAGCCCTGGCTCCTACAATACACAGTAAATTTCTTGCACAATTAAAACAAGGAATGAAGCTACAAAAGGAGCCCCCAAACAATAGAGTAAGATGACAAAACAGCAAAAGAGACCACACTGGGCCGTTTGATTGAGCTATTGTTGGGGCGCACAATGTACACCACTCCACGGCCCTTTTCTCACATACACCTCATGTCAATCAAACGGGCCCTGTGCGCCAACAAGCTAAACACACACACACACACACACACTGACAGACATCATAATTAAACAGATGAGAAACAAATGTGAGGTGGAGCATTCGCATGAATGCATGTCAGTGTTTTTGTATGTTAGTGTTCATCTTCCCCTGATGCAGCAGGGAGGGCGTTTTGTTAAACACAAAACAACATTATTTACCTGTCACAAGGTCATTCCTGATCTGGTGCGCCGTGCTCACTCTCTGCTCTATTTTTATTTAGATTATGACACGATCTGCGTTTCCTTTCCGATTTTCACCGTTGTCATCATCCTGTCTCTCTCTCTCTCTCTCTCTCTCTCTCTCTCTCGCTGTGTGGCTACCTCATGTGTGAGCACTGTCACCCTCTTTCCACTCCTCCGCTCTCGCACACACACCACCCCTCCCAAAGTTGATAAATTCCCACAGTGGCTGTTGACCCAGCTGCCTTTGTCAAGTGGCGCTACCAGCAGGTGCTGTTTTCACAGCCACCCTGGCAGTCGTACAGACTGTTTAGTAGCGCTGCTGACCCCTGCCTGCTATTAACAGTGTTAGCTACACCGCCCCCCCCCCCCCAAAAAAAATCCTCCAGGGACTCCTTCTCTCTCTCTCTCTCTCTCCCTCTCTTTCTCTTTGCTTCCCTCCTTCGGTCTTTTTTTTTTTTTTTAACTGCACGCAGCCTGCAACAACAAAAGCCAGCGTGGATGGAGTGTGGAGTCGGGTGCTGATGGGAGCCTGGGAATCACCCCCCCCCCCCCCCACCCCCTCCCTCGCCTTGCATCATCCACATTTAAAGCAACTTCAAACTCACTCCGTCAAAGTATCGTCACTGCTCAGTGGCATTTTTTTTTTTCAACTAGGAAGTAAACATGGCCAGAACGTGTCACCGTTCAGTTTAGGATTTAGTACCCAGAACTAAAGTTGAAGGTCCTGAATTCCATCTCGCTTTGGTTGCTACCGCCGATTGACCATTTGCTTGTCTCCTCTCTGCCAATCGACTAAGCATTACTGACAGCACACTCACTGCTCTTCAGCTGTCATTGCAGCATCAGTCCAAAGGAGTCCATTTACCAAGCCTGTGTGTACGAGTGTGTGTCCTTCACTGTCAGCGAGTTGTGTTGCCTCGTTAGGTTTTTACCTTCGTACCGTGGAGCTGTTTATACATCCATAGTTCTCCTTTTTACAGATGCACACGCAGAGGAATGTGTGTGCGCAACAGACGCTTCACATTTGAACGTGATTACGCATGGTATTATTTCCAGATTGGTGTGGAGTGTGATATGAAATGAATCAGTTCCAGCCCATATGTTGATGTACGCACATCAACATATGGGCTGAAACTGATTCGTTCAGTCTGATTCAGTCTGGATGTTTGTGTTCATATGGAATGATCACGAAATGTTTCTCTCTGGTGTTCAGACTTGAGGCACATGGTAAATGTACCACACTTGACCCTGACCTGACTTTAAACCCTTCTTAGACAACGCATTCACAAATTGACGATACACAGAAAAGTCGTTAACGTGAAGCATTACTCAGGATCAAAGACGCAATTCTGCCATTATCGAATGCAGGCTCAACGTTTAACCTGATATAAATAAAGTTGCCTTAATGACCTTGAACTGTCCTTGAAACATTTCTTAAATTCACTTATTGGTGCGTTTACAAGCCCAAAAATTGTCTTTTTCATGTGACGCTTATGTCCCCCACATATTAACTGTCCGTCCTTCTAACAACTGTCACAGGCCTCCCGCCCCGAAAGAGTGCCAGCGTCAGGTGGAGCCTCCGGAGCTGCTGATGACAGCTTGCTCCAGACACTGTAAGAACGGACACTGCACCCCTACTGGCCAGTGCTGCTGCAGCCTCGGCTGGGAGGGACCCTTCTGCAGAGTTGGTAAGTGCCTTCATATGCATCTGCTGCTTTCAGGGTAGCATCATCTGGACAAACAGGATATTTGTCCAGATGTTTTAACAGGGTTCATTAATGCACAACTTTACTTAAATTCACAGTGAAACTGACTTTCTGCTCTCTCTGCAGCCAAGTGCGAACCAGCCTGCCGCAACGGAGGAGTGTGTATCGAGCCCAACATGTGCATGTGCAAGAGCGGTTACTCCGGGGCCCAGTGTGAGCAGAGTGAGCAGGGCATGCCCAACGACCAGGAGAAAGACGGCATACTCGACCACATCATTGACATGACCTCGTACCTCCTAGACCTGACCAGCTATATCGTATAGGGGTGCGGAGAGGGGGCCTGTTCCCCGCCGTCGTCTTCAAGCTGACACAAATCTACCTATCGCCACCAGCAGACTCTTAACGAGGTGTCCTTAATATGGCCTCTTAATCTCCCTCACACCAACACAAACAGGCATGTACACACACACACACACACACACACATGCACACACGGGATTCCCATCAGACCGCTTTACGTCCTCGTCTCCATCACCGTACCAGACTCATCCTCTTTTGCCGATAAGCTACATGCTCCCGAGCACCAGGCCTGGCATCCAAGCCGTGCTCCCAACGTGGCCCAGTGTGAGACCCGCAGACAGCGGAGGAGGTGATTAGTAAGCACGGCCAATTTGCGGAAGGTCCACTACGACGTGTCCTGTCCCGTTCAGAAAATGCTCACTCACGGCCGACTCCGCAGGAACAGACCTTTTAAACCCAAGACTTTGGATCTCTTCAGGGGGCCATCTGTTGCTTTATCAAGACACCACGGAAAATGGAGCTCCAGGCATTTTTCAGTGGAGACGGGTTGATTGTTCGGGGGTTCTTTAAGGATTCAAAATTGTAAAGGAGCGGCGTGGCTCCAGCTCCAATTCATCTTCATGGTCCTTTCAAAAATAATTGTCCGCATGCATAGACTTTGATGGAACGCTCTGCACCTCTGAAGTCTATGACAGTCGTTGGTCCTATAGAGCCCGCAGTGCTTTGTGCTGTTCTAAAGGCACCAATACGGGAGAGACGAACCATGTCGTCTCACTTAAGATGTTGTATTTGGTTTGCGGGCACATTGTCATAAGAAAAAGCTATAACAGTATACGGTGTGTATACTTTGTTTCGCAACATTCACTTGCTATCAATGTACAGAATGGATCTACAACATAGGACTGTCACCTACACAGAAATAGGACTGACTCAAGTGAGAATGTTTTGTCAAAGCCAGTTTCATACAATCTGAGTTTTCTGGCTCTCATGCACTGTATTCATTTTTTTGTTTCATTCACTTTATTATTCAAAATGAATTAAAACATTTATTAAAAGCGCAATGAGAGTAGTTTAACATTCACGTGTTCACACCACCCTCTCACAGTTATCAGTTATCAAACTCCTTTCATGGCGTCGCACACTGAAATTGAACCCGAACTCAAAACTATAAAGGGAAGAGATAGCGCAGTGGTGTATATTTCCAATAGAGCTTACCTAAGTACTACTTAGCATTGCAAAAAAAAAAAAAAAAAAAATCTATAGCATTACTATTGTTTTCATAGAGGAGGGTTTATTTTTTTAAGCGTAATAATATATGGGAGAGAATGGTGTTTATAGAAAGCAGTTTTACACTAAGCCTGTCAGTTCATGTCATGTCATGTTCTCGTACTTATACATATGCAGCTGTTAAGAAAGACGCTTGAGGACAAGTATTTTTTTTCTCCCCATCCCTGCCCCAGATGTAAAAGTAATGCATGTGTGTGCCTGCAGAGAGTAATTCAGAGCAGTTGTCTGAGTCCATCTAATTCATCTGGTTTCACTAGCGCTGTCAGAAATGTGTCTCCGTTGTCAGATGATCAAACGTCTCATCAGGCCACCAGGTCTTTGTGAAAGCGGTTCAGTCAGATCTTCTCCGCGGAGAGCAGATTTAAGATTAAACTAATGATCCGTCTCGTGGAGATAGCATCGATTGAACGTCTAATGAACATCTGACTCCTACTTGTAGCCAGAGAACACTTGAGCACAGACGGGGACGGTCTGGAGCCACATCGATGTGTCTTTTCAGACGCCGGGCGAACGCTCATTCGGAGGCAGCGCGCGTACATTCTGGTCCGTATTCTGGATGAATTGTGAATGGGGTTTTTTTTTTCTCTCTCCACGACTTTTATTTTGAAAAACAAGCATCGCAGTTGATTGAAGTTCAGTGTCAGTTCAAGATGTATTTTTTTTTCCCCTCATCTCCCGCCTCGCTTGTGTTTGCTGAAATAAATCAACTACCTGGTCAAAATGGAATTCATGCTGTAAAATGGAAAATTATAATTTCTTTTAGCACTTAATGTGAAAGTTGCATTGTAGCTGCTGAGATGGCGTGGTGTGAATAGAATAACCATTTTCATTATTTAAGTAGTTACACAAATGAAATAATTATTTAAGTTCTTCTATGTCGTTTTTACCATTGTACTGTATGTGACCATTTTTTTTGTATTCCTGTATTGTAAATAAAACTAGGGATAACTTTGTTTCTCTACAGAAATATCAATATGTCTATTAAAATTTATAGCATGTCTGAAATATTTGTCTGTTTTTTTTTAGTATTTAGTAAACTTTACATTTCCAAGGCATTTCTGATGCAATTTATTAACACAAGGAAATTCGTACAAAATGTCTCCATATATTTGGAACTGTTAATAAACAACCACACTTTCATCAGCAGCCCTCCTGTAAATAAACAGAGCAAACGCTGGAATGAAACACCTTCACTCCTCCGTACGGGCTTAACTTAGCAAAATCTGCTTAGTAGGATCGTGCAGAACAATCGAAAGCGATCGAGAGCCGATAGTGAAGCTCCCGGCGATTCATTTGTCACCTGCTGTGTTCGAGGCGAAGAATCAACTTAAATCAGCGTTAAGGAGAAATAGCCCCCTACATTGAGAAATGTGCTTACTTGTTTTCTCACAGACCTCAAAGTAAAGATGGTGAAGATCGATACCACGCTTAGCGTAGCTTAGCTTAGCATAAACACAGGACTGAGGGAAACTCTATTCTTGGGGGGGTTTGTTCGGCTAGCTGTTTACCTCTTTATCTTTGCTTTTCAACCAAGCTCAACAAAGGCTATATGACGATAATTATTTATCATACAAGTAACAAGTTTTATTTCCCATATTAGCTCTTTACAACATAAATAATAAAACTGCCTGTGTGTGTTTTTTTCCTCTGAGGACGGTTGCTGGACGTGTCTCTCTCTGTCCTACCTGTCGCCATAGTTTCACTATATATGATATTAAAAAAAAGGGCCACAAACACCGTAAAATCTGACTTAAAGAACCCTGTTCTTTCTTGCCGACCCACACTGAGAATGGCCTCATTTGGGGTAGAGTCAGCTGCAACATTTCTACTCATGGTTTGTCCTCCAGCCAGGTAAAAAGAAATGGATGTTGAGACAATGTTTAAGTTAAACTGAGGCCAATGTGGCGACGGGCCCACGGTTTTCCTTTTCCTCGCGCTGCAATGGAAAAGCTGCCTTCTGAGTCGCCGGCGGGGAGCGAGCGGAGATGGCTGCGGTGTCGTCATGCGGCATCGTGGCATCGCTCAAAGTTCCAGCCTGAAAAGAAAAATGTCCTCATTTGAAGTGGAAATTCTCCGCTCTGTTTTTTTGGAAGTATGCAAAACACGCTCGTGCACGGAGACACACACGCAAGAGCCGCCGCTAATGGCAATATTAATTTCCTTCTCAAAATACCAATTTGTGTTGTATACTGATAGTGAGTGGAGACCACCCACCTCACTCTGCTCTCACTCACCACACACACACATGACACAGTGCCCATACAACATATTTAGAGTTATGCAACACTAAGTTGTCTATGCGCTATTCACATCCAATCATAATTGCATAAAGTGGAACTGTCCAAAAGTACTGCGAAGTCCAGCGTATATCTCTGGTATGAATCATTACTTTTCATTTGGAATAGTTTTCCTTTTCCTTCCCAAAGGGCTCTTGTCTATCTTTCCCAAACAGTGTAACCCAGTACTTTGAATAAACATGAGGAGCCTGTATACCAAATATTTGTAGGACTGGGATGGCTGGAAGTGCATGCTATGATATTGTATACATGAGTGCGAGAGTCAGCCCAGGCAATACTTATAGGGTAACAGGAGGAGACAGGAAGAAAACAATAGCCCTGGGATTGAAAAGAGACACGTCATTTGTTTTCTGCTCATCCCGACCAAAGTGAACAATTTGTTTTCCTGCGTTCGCTTTGTCTTTTAATTCTGCAGTGACGTAATGCATCCTGCAGGAGATTCAATAGATATCCAATTGATGCTTTGTTTTGGTACCACGTACCGGCAGGATAAACAGCTAATTAAAAAATAAGAATATACTACAACTACTCAAATACTATGGCTGCATACCGCAGAGCAGACTCAGAGCAGAGTTACTGAACACATGTGACTGGTTGATGCCTGCCGGACACACGATTTAGTTACGACCACAATGTACGTCTTCAATACAGTGCGTCTTCTAATAGTTTCCCTAAGCAATTAACTCGGAGACACAATCGCATTATTGCGTCGCAAACCTTTTTAGCGCTTTGCGCTGCTGAGAGCTGAGCTCACGTTTTGGCGGCAGTATTATAGCACCTTTTCTTTCACTGCAGTCCAATCCAGGGATGTAGCACCGTATGTGTGAGAGAGGACTGTGAGTTCCACAGCATTGAGTGAATATTTAGGTTCCCTTGTGACTGTGAGGCGTATGTGTCCAAACTGCTGTGTGCCCGTGGAGGTAAAATACAAAACAGTGCAGGTACAGTGTGATGACTTATGCAGTGGAAAAAACATACATATCTACCCAGACTTAAATGGTCTGGAGTCGGTGTGAAATACGTGTTTTAATGACCTAATTGCTTAATAGCATCAACGTTTTAGAAACATATAATATAATATGGTGTAAATCACTTTGGAGGAAAAAGTGCTCTTAATACATTTAAAAGCACACCGCCGTCTTTTACCGTATTTACTTTAACTACTAAATGTGTCATTTTCCCCAAATATTCCCCCGAAGGCACTGCTCCTTCATCAAAGCCCACATTACAATCCATTACTCAAACAACTTGATTGTCCTGATACCCTCGACACCTTTCTGGAAACGTCTCCTGATCCTCACCACCAATTGTCACATCTCTTCAAGTCTGGCCACACAACATCACCATTAAATGAATCCATGGTGCTCGTTTACAAAAGTCATCGAGTATAAATCGTGACACGCAGGTTCCCAACGTATTGATTTATGTGGGAATATTGGATACGAACTGTGTAAACATGTGTTTCCACGAGTCCGTACCTGCAAGTGCACATGTCAAATACCCCGGTTGTATATCTCGTTTAGTCACACCCCTAATTGCGTAGCGTATTCTGTGACCTCATGTGATTACTCTTGGCTCACTCGTTGAGTACTACCGCCGAAACGGCCCGACGCGGCTGAAACCTCATATTCCCCGCCCCCCCTCCTTCTGATCGCTTGCTAATGAAGACACACTTTCCGACCGGCCTGCTGCTGCCTTTTCCTTCTGCCTCGCTGAACTCCCGGCTTATCGCATAACAAAACAAACCTCACTCGACGACCACCTTGGAGGAGGTTTGGGTGGTTTTGCGAGGCTGTTGTTTTTCGTTTTCCTTCTTTAAATCTCCACCCGCTCACATTTCACACCTCCTCAGTTCATCCCAGTATCTCAGTAATTTACACCTATTTCCTCTACTTCTTTATTGCTCTTGTATTCCGGGCTCCTTGTTAATCACTCCATCACCCTTCCATCATTTCCCCTCTTTCCTTCCTTCTCCTCTCTCTCTCTCTCTCCCTTTCTGCTCCTGGATTCAGAGCTTGTTTACTCGGCCGGACCACACCACTGACTCGCATCCATGGAATGATGCAATTGAGGTTCCAACTGGGGCTCAATCTGTCATGTTAACACATGCTGAACCCCCCACAGAGGGCCGAGAGCCGCTCTGAGTGCTTGGAGACAGGTAAGACTGGCGGAGGTGGAGGGCCGGTGGTTAGAAAATGAGGCGAGTTTGATGTGCTGTACTGCGGGAACCATGACTAATGACACACCACACGGCACTGAGAGGAAAGGAATCTAAAGAGAAAACATCAGCTGTGTATGTGCTTCACTATCCAAACCAGTCTGTTCCTATTTATTACCCTTTTTATTTATTATGTAAATCTAGCATTCTGTCAGGGGGAGACAAATGAACGACCTGTTTGATTTATTGGACACAATTGAAAAAAGCTGAAACGTGCGCTGTTTCTGTGGAGGACTCTCTTTTTTACAAGGGCAGACACATTTTACGGCAATAGTCTGGACACTTTTGTGATGAAGGAATCCTTGACTCCTCCCGATAAAACTTAGTTGATGGTTCAATCAAGAAGGCACTTTAAAGACAGCATAAGAGAAACGAACAGATTTGAAACTCGGACAGAAAGGTTATAGGTAGATGGATCGATGGACCAGTATGAGTGAGAGAACACGCTTTGTATTTATCGTACGTTTATTTGTATCCGAACGTGCGTCAGGCCGTCGAAGACAACACATCGCTCTTTGTCTGCTGTGACCCCCAGCAGGGTTAAGTAAACAACTGATGTCGGCTGGAATGGACCACCTAAGTATAAGTTTCCATGTCGAGGTATCCCCTCAAAGCTAAGCAGGAAAAAAATTTCCGAAACACATTAACAAGAGACACGCAAATGGTTTACGGCAGCGCTCGTGTGGTTGTATTGTTGTATTAATCTGTATACACTGGGGCTCATCTTGGCACGGCCCTTTGTTTGCCTCCACTCTTAATCTGCGGGGCTCATCTTGAGCTTACAACACTCCGAGTCAACAGATGGACATCCGCCGCGGCCCGACTCCCAACACCAGAGCCGACGCCGGGGTCAAAGAGTGCACGCGTGTGTGTGTGTGTCACAGTGTGGATCAACCGAGGCGACCAAGCAAAACCAAAAGTGTCCACGGATCACCTGGTCATTTACAAAAATAAATCACCAGCAACAATTTCCCCATGACAGCTGTTCCTCGGACGTCCGCGCTGACTTTTTTCCAGACCTTCAAGAGATGGAGAACAGGGAAAGTAAGAAGCAAGAAAAAGCAGAGGCGTGGTTCCCTGTGAACGATGTGCGTCAGCCCTCGGTGTCGGCGAGCCCCGTGTGTCCAGGCCAGTGAACTCGGCCAGATGCCTTCGCGCCTTGTTATCTGCACAGGCACGGCCCGTTCTATCACACTGTGTGGGACAGACAGTTTATCCCACCAGATAAGAGGAGAGAATCTCGCATGGACAAACGTGTGGATGGGGACAGATGAACACCTCATGCATGCGGATCCTCACACATCCTGTAAGTGACGGTGCTCGGTCCCAACTTTTTGTTTGCTCCGTCAACGTAGACGACAAAACTCGCGTCAATGAATTGATACAGTTTTGGACAGCTTGCCGTTGGAGAAGGTCGATCGCTCACGTGTCTGAAATGTCACCGAGCACGGGGGAGGGAGGCAGCTAGCCTAGCTTAGCGTCAAGAAAGGCCACCAGAGGGAACAGCCGGCTTGGCTCTTTCCGAAACGAACACGTCAACTGACTTTTAATCTAATTTGTTTGATACGTACACTAACAGAGAACTAAACGCGACAATTTGTGCTTTGTTTATAGTTTTATAATGAGCTGACGTTGCTGCCATCGCCGCCATGACGTTAACATCTTTGTTTTTCCTGGTTCAGACATTTATGTTGTCCTCGGGGTATTTGTAATGGAGCTCAAGCATCAATTCAGTCAGGAAGACAGTTCTTTTGCGTGCTGAGGCCTGTAGTTTATTTCTCATATCCTGCACTCACTCCTCTCACGCATGTGCACTCATAATTTCCTGCTGTCATTGTCTGAGGCTCTCAATCCTGATATCACGTGCTTTTATCAGCTGGTCACATCGATCCAATAGCAGGGTGACACATCTACATTGTTGACCCCATCGCCTCCTCAGCTTCATCCGTTCATCACCATGTGTACACCGGTGTCAGGGAGGATTTATTTGGGCAGACTCCCCTTGATTATAAATCACACTGTAGTCTAAGCACCACAAATTTTCATGAAGTTTAAATAATAACTAAAACTGCCAACATCCGCCTCAGTTGCGGTTTGTGTTTAGTAGCAAATGTGATTATGCTAATTTGCTAAAAGGAATAGTGAATTTAATAAACATTATATGCTCTAAATATCAGAATGCTAATGTTTTTATTATGACTACGGCCTGACACAGCTGTGAGCATATTGTTGCTAAGATAAGAAAATCACCCTGTGGGTTTATGCGCAAACTGCACACAAGAACCTCTCTTTAAAAATAATTATAACTTTATGACTATAGGTTTGAAGGGTAATTAAGAGAAAGCTTTTAAATCATTCAAAAGGAAAAATAACATCTTCTTTCATCTTGCGCTAATGATCAACAGTTACTATGAAACAAAAAAAGTTTATGGCTCTGCTATAACAACATTTTTCAACGTGGCCTCACAGTCAAACCTACACAATCACGCAAAATGCACCCAAATGACTCCAGGTCCTGAGTCAGAGTCCACAAGTGTACTGTCACATAAATAAATCTAGTTAGTGTTATTGCAGAAATGGAGGATTACTGAGTAAACATGCCCTTCTACGCAGAAAAATATTGAACTAAACAAGAAATATTGCTCATTCCTCCGCAGAAAATATTGCCCATTCATTCTCATCAGTGCCACATAAGGTAAAAAAAAAACACATATGGTGAATCATTTTCTTTGGCAAGGCTCTGTTGTGCTGCCTTTTCTTTGCCAAAACCCTAATCCTTGTTTGGTACAGCGACTGCCTGTGTTGGTGGTGTGTGTGCATCCTAATCTCTGTAAAGCTCTGTGTCTAATGGCTGCGCTGCCTCTCTGCACACTGTGTACCTCCAGTTGGACTGAAGCCCAACATGCACAGCAAAGTGGTGGCAGGAAGAGGTGGTTGCACAAAGAAGGAAGACCCACTGTCACATTCTGTCACATTCTGTCACATTCGGTGACAGTGTAGTTGTGGAAATATCTATATGTGGCTGCAGATGCTGTGACTTTGAAATGGAAATCAAAGCTCATTTAAAAGTATAAAATACACGTCTTTTGTCGAACAGGGTATGTTCAATATTAATTGCCAATAATGTGTTTAGTAAGCGCCAATCCTGTGTTTCAAAGTGTTGTGGTGGGGTTACATTCTTTACTTATTTCTGGGATTTTTAAACCTCAAATATGCGTCAATCATTAAAGCTCCGAGATTTTCATAAAAAAAACAATGAATAATGGGGAAGAATGCAAAGGTATTACTTATCACAACCAATAATGAAAACATATTCATTATAACAACAGAGATTAAAATTTGTACGGTCAAAATATGATAATAACAATGATTATAGTAATCATGAAGTTAATGAAGATTTATACAAATATTACTATAACAAAGTCTGTCCTTATCAGGGAAGTATTTCTTGACAATAATAATAAAATAATCAAGCCACCATTGTGCTTTGAAACAAATGGGCAATCTACCAAACGGCTGATTTCATGATGGTTACATTTGTTATAAGTGAGGCCGATTTCTCCTCGTGTAGCACAACTTAACTCAGCGGATTTTGTAATTGTAAACAGGCTTTTACATTCAGTTATTTTTACACTATGAAATAAGATATAAAAGTAATAGTAGGCACTGTCATTCTTGAAAGCCAAAGTGATTGTGTAAATTAAAATGCACATAATATTTACCTTACATTACACAGGGATCTACGATCTACGCGGGGAACTCAGCATCGCGGTGTTGGATCGAGCGGGATTCCTCCTGCCACAGCCGTCCCCATCAGACCCTCGCAGGTGTCCCGTCTACTGACCTGGTCGCCGACCTTTGCATACCTGCTCCGAACTCTGACCGCAGACTGTCCATCATCCTGAGGGTCACCTGGTAAAGACACTCGCCAAATAGCTGAGGCAGTTCCGTTGTGATGAAGCTCTCTGCACAGGTGTGACAAATAAAGCAGAGAAAAACGCTACTTTCACTCACAGCTTGGATTTGGATTCAAGTTTCGTTGTGCTTGGCTGCTTCCTTTAAAACATGTGGAAATCGTTTACCTTTGTCTCCGATGTATTGAGTTGTTTCTGCAGTATGCCGTGGAAATACAAGCCGTAATCAGTTTAGAGAAGGAAACATTATTGTGACATAAGGTTGCCTCTCATTTAAAACATGTCAGAAACCAAAAAGTCATCTTCTCAGTAAAATATAGGCATATCTGCACTATATTCTCATCATTTTCCAATTCACATTTCAACTGAAGTCTAGCTGCATGTAACTTCTTATGTCGTTGTAGTTTCCTTTTTTTCACAGTAATTACTTTACAAATGTCATTATATTTCCTGGCAAGTTAAACCTGTGAAGTGTGAAATAGAGCAGAAAAAAAAGAAAAATATCAGATATACACATGGATAACCTCAAGCAGACTTGAATTATGCCTTTGCATGCAGCGTGTAACTCCAAGATGATGGTGGTCTTTTCATCCCTTTGGACAGAAGAAAACGCATATGAATTGTCAGGAAATCCCCCCGCATGTGACTGTTGCATATGGAAAAGTGCTGTTCAATAACAGCAGAGGGGCTGTCTTGATGGACCTTGGTGACTGACCACCAACATTGTTCCAGGAAAACTCATTTTCACATCAGGCGACTCACTCCAACCTCATCATTTCTGACGGATAAGTTATATTTTTTAGCAGGTGGGGTTGGGGGAGAGGCTCACGTTACATAAATGACATCGGATCTCTTTGCGGGGGCATCCCTTTTCAATTTGAGGAATCAAAGACCACCAATGAGTCACACCTCTGATGTGGTCAAAAAAAAGGGGGGGAAGAAAGAGGAGGAATCTGCAGATTTGGCGCCGAAATCTTGATCCGCTCCCACAGAGTCCGTGCTGGCAAGACGGAGGCTCTCGGGTCACCTCTTGCACTTGCCACACACTGCGCCACCACCGACAACGTTCATCATTCTGTTTTACTGCTGACGCCCACTTTCCCCCACTTTTTTTTCTCCTCCCTTTCCCCCTCGTCTCCATCCCCTTCGGGCAGGCCGGATTGGGTTTAATTGTATCGTTTATGACAGATGCAGAGTGAGGTTTGGCCCTAATTCAAGGCAGACCGTGCAGAGACATTTTATGGTTTCTTTCCACCTCACTTGCTGATGTGTGGTGGGGACACGTTTGACAAAAAACATCCACGGTGGGGGTTTGGGTGGAGAGAGAGATTGGAAACGAGCCGAGACTACACCGGTTTTCCGTCCCCCTTAACCACACCTTTCTTCGCCGCCATCCAACACCTCATTTAAATGACATTTCTCCATGAGTATGATTGGTTGAAGCTTACAACTCTGTGGTTTTCACTTTAAAGAAGAAAAAAAAAACCACAGTAATGTCATAATTAGTTGAATGGGATTTAAAGGAACCTACCAAATATGCGCCATTTGTTCTTTTATGGGCAGACAAATTGAGGCGTCGATTGAAAACAGTCAGTTTGCTGTAAACGGAGTGAACAAGCGGAATAATGTTGGCATCGGTGAAAAATAACTTATGATCAGTTATATCCGGCTGCCCTGTGAATCTGTAGGGAGGTTAACGCATGACATTTGAAGTTGTTTTACAGCTGTTCATTCGTCATGCAGATGTAGTGTAACGTCCAGAAATGAACTCCATCGTTGGGCGTAACAAAACCGATGTCACTCTGATCAGTGCTGGTAACAGTTACGGCTTCAAAGGCTTCACCTCTGAGGCTGCCGACGGCTATTTTAATGATTGAATAATCATTTAAAAAAAACAATTAGCTTAAAATTCTAAAAAAAAAAAAAGGTACAGTTTCTTTTAAAGAACACCTTTATAAAAAATATAAAAATAAAATACAAAAATATTATTCAATATCATATGGAGGAAACTAGCCTAGCTTAGCATAAAAGCAGGAAGAAACGATTACTTATCACAGACAACTGGCTCTAAGAGCATCAGCATCCTCTAAATATCACTACCAAAAATATTTTAACTGTTTTCTATAGATTTCCTTCACAAATCCTGATATAAAAAATGTTTCGAACGATGTTTACTGAAAACTAGTTAAATGACGCAGTGACTTCCTGAAGTCTATTTTGTCACTATGAGGTGAAATGCTTCCAGTACATATGGTTAACTTCCCGCTACGCCTAACTGTGAGATGAAAAACACTTAAAAAACATTTAAGTAGAGGCGTTTAGAAGTGATGATTATGTGAAACAACCCCGGAGCAGTGAGTGGACATTGAGTGGATATTGTTTTGCCAACTGGCATATTTTGTCCATTTCTTTGTCGTCCTTCATGCTCCCACTGTTTTTTCTCTCTGCCTCTTTTTGTCCCTCTCTCAGTTTTTTCGCCCACAGGTGATCCGTCTCACCTGAACCCTACAATTAGACCATGTGACTCCTCAAACAAACCCATTCACACACACTTCACAACATCCTTTGCAACGGAAGGCACCTCTAACATTTAGTCCCACATCACAGGGCGAGCGCCTCGTTTGATGGCGAGAGGTTTTTTTTTGGAGGATAGATGTAGTTATTATGCACGTAAAAACGTGAAATAGAATCTGTGGTGGAGAAAATGATTGTACAAAAACAAAGGGTCTTTGTGGTGATTCTGCATTTTATTACGCTCTCCGTAGCTCATCGTCATAACAGGTAAGAAAGAATTTATATATAAAAAAAACATGCGCTGTTGGAAAACCAAAAATATACAATATCTATTCTTTCAAAGCAACGTATTACATTAATCAATCGCTGGAGGGTGTGAGAAGCTTTAACAGCAGCTATGAATGAAGCTTGTTTGCTGGTTCTGTAGGCGTTGCAGTTTATTGCGCTTTTGTTTATTACGGCAGATTTTAATGAGGGAAAAAATTGTTACTAGTTACAATTTAAGGACTTTTTCTGCTGAACAATTGGGAATGAGGAAGGTGTTTCAGAAGTTGTTACGGTGTACAGCTGCAGTAAATGGGTTCAAGTGTGGTCAGAAGATCCGGGAAGCTATAAAACGCATGAGACATTTATTTGAATGGGATTTGTAATTTTATGGAATTTTTATTGTAAACTACATTTAGTCTTGACTAGATATACTCACTGCCTGCCATTTTGCAAATATAAAACGCTATGCCAACACGTTTTTTTTTGTTTTACAAACAAACATTTCGTGTCGCCGCATGCGAGGAGGATGTGTCACCGTTTTCCAGGGCATACGGTGGATTTGGGTTCGGTGCTGAAGTTGAAGCCCTGAAAGGCTCGACGGCGCTTAATTATCTGATAACCTTTTGCCGCAGCCTCCACAGGTCAGCGGAGGACACGCTGGAGGACTCCGGGGGTCACACGCCGCCAGGGCTCTGCAGCTACGGTCAGACCACTTCCTGTTGTTCGGGATGGAGGATTGTTCACGGCGTATGTCAGCGTAAGTCATTCTGCGATATGCAGTGACAGCACTAGAACGATGACACATTACTCACAGTTCACAGGTCATCAGTTCGGCATCTCAGCAAAACAACAAATACTAGGAAACCCATGTGAGGAAGTTCTGATTCTTGCATTTTGCTTTTTTTTCTTTGCATTTATTCCTCCTTCATCTACACTAACAAATACTCCCTGTGTTTGTTTCAGTTAATACTGCCTTTATATGACAGCCACGCTCACTAGTTGTTTTGCATATCAAGATTTAACATATGTGTGACGAGAACATGAGAAGTCAAATTATTCAGCTACATAATTATAATGAAATGACTATTTACAGCAAGTGTACTATAAGTGTGAATGCAGTAGTAATGATACAATATTTTTAAATAAAACATAGAAACTTTACATAATAAGTACTTTTACTTTTCAAACATTTCCTACAAGAGTTGGTTGAGACCAAAACAGAAGTAAAAGGTCAAATTTACCAGGCACGATGAAACATGATTTAAAATGAATGCTAACGTTGCAAAGACATGCACTGGGGATCAGGTTGATTGGTGACTCTAAATTGCCCGTAGGTGTGTGAATGGTTGTATGGTTGAGGTAGTTTTGTTGAAAAAGGTTATTGCATTGAATTGACATTTAACTCACATGACACACAAGACGTTCCCAAAATGCATTGACTTTTGTCTTACCAGGTGAAATACTATATAGGGAAAAGCAAAACTTTCCCAATTGCAATGAGACCAATGGTTGCTTGTTGTCAGTTAAGGCAACTTTTATTTGTTCCAGTTGGGGACCTCTGCTCATGTTTACTGGAAGTTTTAATTCATACATTGATGTAGTGTAGGTTGCCATAGTTATGGTCTTATCAAATACCAGCATGCAGACATTTTTGACGTTTAACTTCATCTTCCTTAGCGGTGTGCGCGAGGTTGTGCGTAAATGGAAGATGTGTGGGGCCAGACCAGTGTTTATGCTCCGCGGGGTATGCAGGACCTCAGTGTGACGAAGGTAGAGTGTGACGCAAAACACCGTTGTCAGTCTCATGTTTCTGGTGTCTCAACCCGTTCTCCTGCATGCACTTTTCTGCAAGGATTTCTTTCTGCTGCTCACGTAAGGTTTCATTGACTCCAGATGTGAATGAGTGTGGTTTCGTGGAGAGGCCGTGTTCCCACCGCTGCATGAATACGCACGGTAGCTACCGCTGTTACTGTGAACCTGGATACGCACTCAGTGCAGACGGATACACCTGCGCCAGTGAGTCATATTGCTTTTAACAAAACGTTTGAAACTCTGTGATGTGAGGTGGTATTTAAACGTTACAAAATATACATTTTTTAATGGTTTCATCACCTACATAGTCCTAGTGTTGCACTAGTGTGTGTGTGTGTGTGTGTGTTCTCTCAGCCGTGATCCACTGGCCCATTTCTCTGGCTGTTCCTCAGCCAGTGTTTCCCCCGTCTGTCTTCCAGGAGAGGCCGCGTGTTTCTCCCTGCGCTGCCAGTTTGGGTGCCAGATGGAGAGGGGGGGGGCGGTGCGCTGTCTGTGCCCCCCTGGCCTCCACCTGGCCGCTGACAGCAAGACCTGTGAAGGTAAAGCCCCTCCAGAACCTACACTACAACGTGCCTCCCTTGGTAATGATTAGTGGTTTTCATGGGTCATGTTGCCGTGATATTGAGTCTGAACTGCAGTTTCGTTTCCCTTTGCTGTTATTGCTGATAACGTGTTTGTGTTTGGGAGCGTTTCTTATTTTGGCAACAACTAATAGTGTATTAATCGTTTTGATCTTTAAGGGATGAAACCCCAGATAGTTTCACATTACCTGCACCGGCGGACCGAGCGGCAGACAGACCAAGTTTGCAACCAGCCTGTGAACATATTGAACATTAGCGGTTATTTCTTTCAGGAGATGGTGGATACTGGACTTCAACACTTGAAAACATAACTGTGAATGAATGTTGCTTGATATTTACTTATTTAGTAAATAGGTAAATGTTTTCCTGAGTATAATATGCTGGTGCTTGACAGTGGTTACGAGCCCAAAATGATCACTTAATGCAGGATGAGTACAGCCAATAACAAGGAATAATCTCGTACATTTATACTTGACAAATGAGTGTCGATTATTGATGCAAGAAAGACTTTTGGGGGGAGGAAGAACTAAAACCGCATTCCAAATTACATACAAAATATGTCCTGTGGCACGTGGTAACCATTCAATTGGGACATACTATACACATATACAATTGGGACATACTATATACAAAGGATTTACCATCCTATGTAAAGGATCCTGCAATACTAAATAGTATGTTAGTATTGGTATTGATGCACACAGTCAAGTATTCTTCTCTGAACTATCAAAATAAAAAAAGTTAAGAATTTATAAAAACCTGTGGGAAGTTTCTATAGTGATTCCTTATAGCGACTATTTATTGACTCATGACTCTTAAATCATTACAGTTGTTTGCCAATGTGTGTGTTTTTGCCACAATCATGTCATGTGATTAGATGTCATAGAGTAGATGCAGCCAACTTTACCAGTGGCCCCTCTCTGCTGTGTCTGCCCCCCCCCCCTCCTCCCCCAATGGTGAAGAGCCTTTAATTACCTGGAAAAACACACCCTGGACTCCGTTCCTCGGTGTCCCGACTCGATAACTCACCCCCTGTCCTGTAATGAAGAGACCCTTCAGCAGCCTCCCCCACGTCTGCCACAACATTTTCACACTGTGGGAGAGCTAAGAAACATTAAACGTCCAAGACGGAGATCAACCACAGCTTCTGGTCCCAATGCTTCCAATGCAGATGTCATCAAAGTAGTGTGAGCGACGTACGCAAGATGCATGGAGTGGTACTAGTGAACGCAAAAGACGCCAATAATTGTATCACTCTGGACACCTGAAGTGTGTCTTTTGTGTGTTCTTGCTGTTGAACACGTTGCACCTTTCAACTCTTCAGTACAAAGGTGGTTGCGAGGTTTTCAGCTACTCATTTGGCTTTCTTGTGTCTTTTTGAAGATAATTATTGTTTTGAGCAAAGACCAGAAACATTCAGGCAGCGTCGTGTGGACAACAAGGCCAGAAATGTGCTATGTGTGTGCTCTGTCTGTGCAATGAAATTGACCGAATGTGTTGCAGATGACGATGAGTGTCGGCGAGGTGCTGATGTGTGCCGGCCGCGGCGGACCTGCAAGAACACGTTCGGCAGCTTCGTCTGCGTGTGCCGAGATGGCTTTGTGATGGGGACGCTCAGCGGCGCCGTGCAGTGTCGAGGTGGGGTCTGCAATCGTTATCGAAGAACGTGCACGTTGACGTCCAGCAGCTCCACATTGTTGTTTTATGTGAAGGTGTGCTTGAATGTAACGTGTGTGGGGGGGGGTTCTTTCGGCCTTTTTATCACAAATAGACGGTATCGATGACAAGGAGACGTAATGCAATATAAGGCTCACACCAGAAACCAACCAGGGTTGGTAAAACAACGTTGTGACCTTTAGGCCGTATCGTGCAAAGCAAAGCTGTGAGCAGTGTTTCGGTTTCATCCGCGCGATGAGCGTTGCAGGATTATCTCAACAGACCCTTCGCTCTCTCCACGCTGCTCCAACATGACTCGACGCCGCCTCGCTCCGACGAGAAATAACCAAATAGCTGACGAGCATTTGTTCTCTCCCTTCGCTCCACAGACGAGGACGAATGTTTAATCGGGTCTCACCGCTGCAGCCGCCACGCTCAGTGCGTCAACACAGATGGTTCCTACACCTGTCAGTGTTTGGAGGGTTACTCCGGCAACGGACGCACCTGCCGGCCCAGGAGAGCCTCACAGTCCAGGGCTGACATGTACTTCAACTACAAGCTCTCCAAAAGGACCAAGCCCAGAAGACCTTCATCTTGAACTACTAGCTACAACCTACAAGGCCCAGATCAAAAGGGACACGCGGCAGAAGGTTATTACTGAAGAGGTGTTCAGGTTAAACAACGGTCGATAGAAGTTTTTAAACTCTCAGTGTAAAGTATATTTGTTCAGTGATGAAACAAGGGCCGTCAGTTGCCTTCCGACGAGGCAAAAACCTGGAATAGTCCCAGCAATATTACTCGCCTGTTTCATTTGGCAAATGCCCCACACAACAGGGCCGCGCTGGGTACTTTGCTAGAGGGAGTTTGAGCCCAAAATGGACTGCGATGCTGGGAGGGCTTTTCCTTGCGCTGACCAGTGTCACCCCTGTTATTGCACGTTGGACCTACTTTGTTACACAAAATGCTGCGTAAAATTGCAAATATTGTCAGTGCATCGCTGGTAGTTTAGTGAAATGGTCTTAAATTGCATTTTCTTCATAGAAAAAAGGGTTTTGTAAGATTTCATCAGAATTTGTTAATAAAAGGCTGACCTCTGGTGGATAGTTAATGGAAGATATCGGTTTATTTTACACTAAATTCGGAAGAATCTTGGTGAAAGAAAATTGTGATTTGTATAAGGTCCAATGGCCATATAATGTCTGTAATAGTAATACTAGTATTAGTCTATAGTTTTATAATAGTAATGTCTGTAATGTTAATATTTTTCTGGCATATAAAGAAAATTCTAAATTATAGCATTATAACTATTTCTTAAAAAAGATTTACTCTATAATACTACAAGATTTAAGAAAGGAGACAATAGCTTTTTAATCCAAAGACTTTTTTTGGATGAACACATTTTGTAAATCGGCAGTAGACCTAATTTAAAGTGCAAATGCGGGCAGTATTGCCAATAGAAAAGCAGAGGCAGAGACAACAGTCAATTTAGAGGCATTTGAAACCCTTCTAAAACGCAGACAGATGTTTTTCATACCTTGCTGTATATCTCCTGCCCCCTTCCTTGGTTCTGCCACAGGGAATGTTTTCAGACCCACTAAGTCACACGCGGGGCAGACTACCACACAGCCAGAGAGCATAGACAGGTCAGACCGACCAAATACCAGGAATCTTTGTCTGTCAGCAGCTGCCTGGAGGAGACCTCCTCCCGCCTTAAGAGAGCGCACGGATGGAAATTGAAAGTTTGTTTTTGATGTTTTTCCTCAGGTCAATTTTACGTTTCCGTGCCGACGATTAACACCGTGACCCCCGGGGAGAGGCGGAATTGGAGATAATAACTGTAATGATAGCGGATGATGTTAGGGGGCACTATGTGTCGCGTCGGGGGCCTCCGTTGTGTATTCCGGGAAGCTGTGGAGCGCTGAGAGAGTCGTGCAGTGAGAACAAGCAGCTGCTGCCTGCTGAAGGGCCCTGCCACTGACCCTATTCATTGCAACAGCAGGTGTCACATCAAGTCCCCGCCTCGGCCCGCCGCACACACACATTCACACATGTGCCCCGCACACATACACCCGTATGCGAAATCCTCGTGCACTTTTACACACACACACACACACACAGATGAGAATGTGTGTGTGTGTTTGTGAGTGAGAGGGGACCTGGAACTACTTACAGAGAACAAAGAGGGAAATCAGGAAAAAATGCAGCCTCTTCGAATAAATCTCACCACAATGCTGAGAAAAATCCCCAACCTCACCCCCAGAAACGCAAGAAAAACCTTGTTTCTCTCTTTGAAAGCAGTCAAAAGTGTCCTACAAAAGCAGAAATAGAAAACATTTTAGATAAAAGGATCCAGGCCCCTCAGTGAAAAGGACCTCACACCAAGCTGTGTGTAATTCCTACCAGAACCTGGTTTATTTACCAAAAAATAATAAGATTTAATGCCAGAGCACTTAGGCCCCAAATAAAGGACAGCAAGTGGTGGGCACCCTGGAACGGGCGAGGGAGAAAAAAGGAGGACAATGTCGGGTGTGGAAATGTTCCCTTTTTCTTGTGCTTGTTATTTTCTGCTTCTCTGTTTACACCACACACAAGATTCCGCACGGCGGAGCAGCGAAAGGGAACGGCGGCGCGAGAGCCGCGCAGATTGGCCTCCGCACAGAATAAAAGAAAACAATAAACGTGTCAGAGGAATTTGGACATCTGCAGTGACACAGGCTCTCACGCCGAGGCCACGGCAATTTCACCAACCAAAGCGCTGCTGCCTCGGCTTCCCCCCCCGCGTAGAGCAAAATCAACATTTATCCTGAGAAAGTGAGCAATGACGCTGACAAGTGCATAGAGCCAATGACAATACGATAGCAGAGATGCTAGGAACAACCGTGCCACCCACGTTGCTGAAAGGCCCGTGCTTTCAAACAGCCCCCACTGCCAGTGCAAAACCACTAAAACCCTTGTCTTGCCCGTACTGTCCTTTTCAGTTGGGTTAGAAATAAGAAGTTTCTTTTCTCCCTGTTGGAAGAAGCTTTTCCACAGTTAATTCTGGTATTATGTTCCGATTGGACCCACATCTACGACACACACACACACACACACACAGTCGCTATACGGAGGAACACAGTGCAGTGTTTCCATGAATGAATTAACATTATAAATGCTGACCATTCCCACTCAGGGGAAGTGAGCCAAAGCTTGAACCCTTGTCACGGAGCCATTTTCTCTCGCTTGCTTTTGCCTACGAAAAAAAAAAAAATCTGCAGTGGAGTAGAGAGAGTGTGACAGCTCACTGCCTGCAGCAATTCTCCAAGATGTCTTTTATTGAATTTGACTAAAAAAAAGAGCCTAAACTAAATAAAGCTGAGCCTTTTGGTTCAGTTGCCAAGTCGTTGATTCATGAATCCGCGCCAAAAAGAAATGAACTATAGGTTCAATTGTATCAGTTTAGAAATTAAAATAGAATCACAGCAGCTTAACGAACACCGCTATTCCCAAATTTGCCACGGGGATAATTAAAGCTTTCTGTTATCGAAATGGCAGCTGTGGCCTCTCAGTCACTTTTAAATCACGTTATGTGGAGCAACTACACGTGAGTCACTCTCTTCTGTGTGACCGGGATGAGAAAGAGCCTGTGTGCAGCCGCGATGCCTCGTAATTCTCATTCATACTAATACACTCCCGGTGGATGTTTGGCTCTGCGGTGGGTAGTGTGTGTGTGTATGTGTGTGTGTGTGTGTGTGTGTGTGTGTGTGAGGCTGTAGGAAAACCCAGCTCAAACATCTTAAAAAGTTAAGTCACGGACACCCTCGTTCAAGCACACAAACACTACTTTCAAACGGATTGAGCCGTTGTGTATCCGGGACTTTAATTCATGTTTCAAATCCCCATGATGACTTCAAACACAGATTGAACAGTAAAAAAAACCTAACCCTCTTTTCCATTTCCTTTCTTCTGTCTGCTCCTATTCTCCGCACAAGGTACATATAACAAGTGGAACAGACACATCATAACATGAAAGTGGAGCGCTAACCCGACCGGAATTCACTGTGCCTAAATCACTCTTAATGTGAGCGCTGAGCAGCCTTGTTCGGGGGATTATCCTCGATGGAACAGGAAAGATTTCCAGCTAATCTATATAGGAATGCCTACTCTGGAGAAGGTGAAGGGAAGTGGCTGGGACCAAAGGTTTCTCTGCGAAGCCACACTTTGTTATTCTTTTGTGAAGCAATTAGGGCCCAACCACTGAGAAAAGCAATTGTTTTATGTTCTTTTGCACCGTGTCTCCTTCAGGGTGCCGTCGGAGGAGTTTGCCTCCTGTTGGGGCGGGAATGGGTAATCGATTTCGTTAAGAAATTTGATAGTTTATCTATCAGAAAACATTTCCAGGTTCCATTTTATCTTAACCGTTGGTCGTTTTTCTTACAGGATGTCGTTGAGTTTTGGGATGTTTGGAGGACAGATCAAACAACTCCAAATGTCACAATGGCTTCTGTGTGAATATACTTTGGTTTCTCTACAGGGGAGTTTGTAGAGGATTGCTTACTTTTTTAGTTGTTTGCAGCACTGTTTGCTGTGTTTTCAATAAAGAAAAGTCAAGTAATGAACATTAGAAAATGATATAAACATTTCATGTCGAAATAATGACATATTGCTTTAAGTGATTTTGCTGTATCCTTCACAAAATACATTGATTGTCGATACCTTCTACAACGACCGTGTTCTCATTTCTATTCCATCATCCAGCACCAAACAGCACACTGACAAGGTGAGTGAATGGCTAGCAAACATATAGCCGCATTTAGCAGCTAAGGAGACAGATATTTTCTGCATGTGTTGGTTGAGACCAAAAACCGAGCTAAAAGAAGAGTAAATATCTGAGTTGCGTTCATCAGAAATACAAACCCCAAACAACTGTCGCTCCATATCATCTTAATTTGTTAGTTAGCAATTGTTGGCTCCATAACAACTCCATAAGGAGGTCAATGTTATGTTTGTATCTCCCCCCCCTCCAACCCCCAATCCCCCAAAAATGTGCATATGCTCCCACTTCCACCCTGCAGCCTTCCGGCTGTCCCTGTTTCTCTCTCGCCGCCCTCTCAGCTCCCGTGCCAGTTCAGATGTGTCTGGGGCAGCTAAGGAAGCGCAGGGTGGCACCAACCCAGACCCGTCGAGCAGGCAGCGGCCACTCCGGTGAGGAATGTATGAGAAGGTTGCTGGCAAGCCCGTCGCTTGGCAGGTTGTCCCGCCGGGGAATCACTCAGTGCGAGCGGACCGCTGCCAACTCCCTGTCAGCGGTAGCCGGTGAGCTCACGAGGGCCGCAGTCGGGGGGAACACAGACGTGGACACAGAGACGGACTGTAGTCATGCTGTGTAATACCTTCCCATTCACACCCCGTCGCCGCCTCGCCCTTCCCCGACGCAGAAATGAAAAACGCCGTGTTTGGCTCAAAGTTCCTATCGGTGGAAATGGTTTTGCGCCGTAGTTTTTAAAAACTGCGTGTTTGTGTACTTGACTTCGTCGTCCAACATGCAACCGCTTTAACAGGAGCTTTGTGAAATATGGTTGTTTTGTTTGCACTTTTTTGGAACGATTGACAGAACATAAAAAGCGTGTTTGTGCCTCAGCCATGTTTTGACCATGCAATGGAATGATGTATTGCTCAAGAAACTTCCCCCAGATTCCCGCTCCTTTTCTGAAGCCACATGAGCCAGGCCAAACCGAACCTCGACAACCGCTAAGCCAAACTTGAGGAAGAACTGACAACCCCAAAACCTCACCTCAGCCTGACCGCACTGCAACCCCCCGCTGGCAGTCCCACACATCAGTGATATGTTAGGAGCCAGTGGTTGACACATTGTTTTACTATATCCTTCACTGTTTAGTATTTTGGCATCATAGAAATCAACATTGGCCTCCGCGTTAGCGTCGTGAATTACCGGCTAACCATTTCAGCTTGAAAAGACTCTCAAAAGAAAGTCCGTCTATTGTGACGGAAAAGTTTAGATAGCCTGGCATGAAATGTTTTTCGAAGCCGGAGTGAGAGTTGGATTTTCCATCCCACTGTACCGATGTTTAGCTGCGCGTCAGGTGCTGCCAACAG